CCAACCAAATGTCCGTCTATATCCCAGGATATAGAATTCAGATAAATATTTTATAGGTATCTTTAGTAGACATTCATAAGTAACCAAATGAATGATAACGTCGAAAGAAAATAGAGATAAAAAATATCTCCAACAATCTGCCTTTGAGTTTGCCCACTAAGGAAAAAGTCATCCTTATTAGGACTCTTCAGCAATAAATGGAAATATCTCGACTCCAATCTCTAATAGAGTCTTAATGCGAAAAAATGTTCGATCAACTCAATTATGGCGGGTTGAGCATGAGTAGATACGAAAGTGGTATCGCCATCTATACTTAGGAAGCAAAATCAAAAATTACATCTAGTAGTTATCCACGATGGTTTGCGTCCGCGCTAAGACTTTGATATATGAGGATGTTCATGGGATATTGAATACACCTTAAAAAAATTAATTTTAAATATCTGAACGGTACTATTAGTCACAATGGCGAGCACAATGGCGTAATTTTTTAATAATTTGCTATATAATTACTATTATTTATGGACATTTGCATGTCTATAAATTACATTTTATAGATATAAAATAGATATCCACCATGGACTGGACATTCAGTGGATATTGGGATGTTCAGTAGATATCCAAAGGATTTGGTGTGCTGTCTGGGAAGTGAAGTCCTGATGGAACATTTTTGTAAATATTTTTTAAAATTTCTTTACGGGCCTACTAATTATTGTTTACACTTTCGAATAACTTATCATGAAATTTTCAAATGCTTTTTTCTTGAAAATGGTGCGTCCTAGCGAGATGCAACAGAAATAGCTTTATTATAAAGAAAACATTGGTTTTCCAAATTTTATAGTCAAAAATGTTTAAAACTATCAACAAAAAAAACTTAGGGCAATTTTACCCTACGTCCCCCCTAATTTACACACCTATGAAGATGATCAAAAACTGGGGTATAGTCCATTAAATAGAGCGTAAAAAGGTAAGCATTTGTACCAAATTTCACTTAGTTTTCTTTAAAAGTTTAGAAAATATTTACAAAAGAGTGTCATCAGGACTTCACTTTTAACACCCTGTATCTCGGAAAAGAAACGTTTTCGGACTTATGTTTATATAAACGTTTACTCCTATTTTAGGATGTAGATTATGCTGTTAAAATATGACCGTCTAATTTCGGAACACCCTGTATATGTATTTTGTAAAAAAAATTCCCGAAATTGTCCAGACGCCGCCCTTAAATTTTCGTATTTTTTCAAGTATATTTTTTAACAATGGCTTTAATGTAGATCTTACAGATTACCTAATTGACGTCCGGCTCCCTTAACTAATCACCTGGTATATACGACCTAAAATATCGGTTCTTTCTTTTATCAGTATCACAAATATGCTGGTCAAGAAGTAAAGTAACCGCACAACCAGTTTCATCTCTATGTGTGTAACCAAAACTTGTTCATTCAATCATTCGGCTATGCAGAGAGAACCAGTTTTTAAATGAACACTTTATTCGTGGTCCATTGGAGGAGGAACGACAAGAGTTCTGGATAATTGCTTAAAAGAATTTGATATCATTTGACGTATGCAGGTATCACGTAGTGCGATACGTAGGGTAATATAAACAAAATAAAAGTTAGAAACAAATAGCAGATTCAGACTCTCGATTAAAAGGTGCATTATTATTTATAGGTAGGTATTTAAAATTATATAAATGCAAAGGCGGTTTCAGGACCGGTATGAACATAGCGACCAATTTTTAGAGACTAATTTTCCGAACTGTCAGTTGCGTCGTAATTATTGTAGGAGGCATTCAAAAAACTGCATAAAATTTGCGCAAATAAAATAATTGACAATATACCACTTTATTATTTTAAACTTGGTAGGATACAATATAGAGAAAATAGTCGCAATCAATTATATCGGTTCCTGGACTTGAAACCATATGTATATTCTCTAGCATATGGTAGGAAAAAATACCACTTTAATATCTCTTAAAGAGAATGACTTACAAGAACAAACAGGGTGTTTATCAACCCCAAAAGGAAAATAGTAGCACTAAACTATCTCTGTTCCTATATACAAAAACATATTTATTTTCAAATACAACTTAGGTACAAATACACAACTTATAATATACTTTAAAGAAAACCACTTGCAAGTTTAAATAGGGCATCAATCAACTCCAAATAAGGGAGTTTTCCGATTATTTAATAGGAATAAAATATCTCCGCTCTTAGACATAAAAACCTTTTTTTTCTAGTTAGCTACAAACAGAAGCGGCGTAAGGTGTGGGCGACCGCCTACGGCCTCGCGGCCCGAAGGACCTCGCATCTCCTAGGTTTAATGCATCATTATTAGACTTATGAAAAATATTTATTTTGTTTGATTCTCACTTCTGATTTACGTTTTATGTAAGCAAAAATAAAAAAAGGTTAACTTTCAAATACTCTGTATTTTAAGAGAAGTTTAAGCAATCTAGCTGTGTTTTTTCTAGTACCTGGCACTAATTTTGTCAAAATTGACAGGAGTAAAGTACCCCTTGGAGGTGATGGGGGGAAAAATGGTTTCACCTGGCAAAAAGGTATTGGGATAAGAATTATGTGTGCGAAGTTTAAGTAATGTTTTTCTAAACATATTTTTTTTTAGCCTAAGTTAGATACAAATACCACTTTAACCTTTCTTAAAAAAAAGATAAAATTTAACGGTCATTTTTTTACTATAGCGAGTGAAACAGATTTACGAGTGTGAAGCAATTAGCGCTAATGATTAAATTACTGGAAATTTTCCATGAGAGAGAGAGCATTATACTTTGGCGCTTAAATGCTTGTAAATAAAATGCAGGTGTGCAAATGTTTTTCCTAGAATTCAAAAAATTAAATTGCATTTAATCTTCCTAGGGGCCAGGGCTGGCTTCCAATTTTGTAAAAGATTTTTAAATTTGTTGATACAATGTACTGAATGAATAATAAAATATATTATTGAAATATCTGTAAAAAATGCTTGTCATTTTTTTACAATCCAAAAGCACACTCAAATATATGAAGCACGGACGAAAAGTGTATTTTCGGACTTAACTTTTCGTCCTTATAATATCGATACGCTTTAACTAAATTAACACAAATGTACGTTACTTTTTTAATACCAAATTAACATTTAACAAAAATGTATCATATATTAGGTGCCTTTCTTCTACAGATTTTTGGGATACTTTTATTCGCTTACCTGAGGTTTACATCCTCATGCACCGCTTCCATCATTTTTGTTTTTATATATAAATTGTTTATGTAGGCAAAAAAATCATGTTTACATCTTTACATTTAAAATACATAAGTATGGAATCAACATACATCTAAAATACAATATATACTGTACACGTCAACTATACAAACCATAATAAAAGAACAAGAAAAAAAAACCGTCAATTGGTCAGCAAGTACTCACGCAGTTTTCTTTTAAATATTGTTGCGTTTGAAGAACATATTTAATATCATTTAACATTTAGCCTGTACACTTTTAAAAAATACTGAATTTTGTGCACATTTTTTCGTGGCCTTATAAACTCTAAAATTTTTCTTATTTCGTGTATTGTGTTCATGAACATCCTGATTATAACAAAAAATTTTGTAAATATACTGGGGAGATTCCTGATTTAAATATAAATAGCAGAGAATAGCAAATATATTTTAACAGGCAACCACTGAAGCACATTCAACATGGAATTGATTGGTTCCAATCTCGAACAGCTCAGTATTATCCTCATGCCTCTATTCTGGTTGAGCAAATACAATATAGTGGCACAATAATTAAAATGAGGTAATATTAGAGTATTATAAATTATTATTTTAGCCCATTTGTTGAGATGTGGAGAACAGCGCCGCAAATAGTTTATTTTAAATGATATGCTTTTGATGACATTATTAGCATAATCCTTAAATTGTAAATTTGTATCAACCATAACCCCTAAATATTTAAATTTTTCAACTCTTTGAAACTTTATTCCATCAACAAAAACACACTGCGATGCTACATTTATTTTTTTTTAAATTTCCAGTACCCCAATTAACATCCACTTTGTCTTTTCGTAATTTATTTTCAACGAATTTCCATTACAATAATCATATATTTTACTTATAGAACTATTAATTTCTTTAAAACAAGTTTCAGTGTTTTGATGGGTAAAATATATCAGTGTATCATCTGCAAATAGGTGTATTGAGCATCTTTCGACTACACCAGCAATGTCATTAATATATATATTAAAAACAGTAGTGGACCTAGAACACTACCCTATGGCACCTCCATATTATTCTCTATAGTATCTGAAACACAACTACTTACCTTAACCTTCCATTTCCTAGTTTCATATAATGACCCAACCAGTCAAATAGCTCTTAATTTCATTAATAATCTACCCCTATTTTTGTTGTAGTAACGGTGGAATGCCTTTTTTATTCTTGTCGGTTTTCTTTTTCAGTTTTGTTTTCATTAATGCTTTCGAGATCACGTTTTTTTCCAATATTTCCGGATATTTTTACCCTTTCAGCAATGAACTTATATTGTTTTGCGACTCTAGTCGTCTGATAGTTTCTTGTCGCTGCCATCTTCTTAGATCACAAATATCCAACCCAGCTCAACAAAAGTAAAATGAAACTCAGAGTACAGCTTATAAGTGCTCACTCTCGCATGCTAGGGTACACTACTATAATAACATTAATATTTGATTGCAATGAAAAGGGAAATATTATGAAAACGAAGTAAAACAAAACCTTTTTCTTCTACCTTTGAAGGAAATACTTTATTTTTTTAAATATGACCTATTAAATCACAAAAAATACTTTTTAACTTACCAATATATCGTGTAGTTGTCGTTCATTTTTCTTACTTTTGCCACCATATTCCTCTTTCCACCACCTCATGTTACTTTAAATAGTTTAATGTCTTTGTCTTTTATACTCAGGAAATTAAACACAATGTTATACTTTTATTTATAATGTTTAAAGTAAAATAAATAAAACTACAATAGAAACTTTGAATTTTATTATCCATACAAAAAAGAAAACAATAGTAAATGAATCCATACGTTTTCACAAAAATTTCATATCACATTTCAATCAGCACATTCATACACACACCCATAAAATGAATACTCTAACAACTGATTTAAGTATATATTTTTAAAAGAAAATTTTATAAATAAACGATTTTTCTTATTCTAATAACGGTCCAAGATCGTGAAATAAAATTAAGTAGAAAATAAAATGTGAAAATGATCAGGTTGAAGGTACAGAGAATTAAGAACATAAATTGTATATTTAATTACAGGTGGAGAGGTTTTCGAACTCCTTTTTGCATTTTTTAACTATCGCATGTACATATATGTAAAGGTGAAAAATGAGAATATACGGGGTGATTAGAGGCAGTTCAACCAGTCAACCGAACCGTTTAAAAATGCATATAAAAGTAGATTTGGTGATGATTTCAAGTGATATTCTAGCCGAGTTGGGCTGCACCGGCCCTAATCCATCTAAACCGTTGAGAACCAACAAAATTACCACCTTATTGGTACAAAAAGTTTAAATTGCTTACAAATCAGTTCATACCTGGTCATAACTTACACCTTGATAAAAAATTGTGAGTTCTTTTAATGTCTATTCAATTTAATTAAGACTTTTTCATCACTGCTTAGAAAAAGATTGTATATTCTAAAAACATCGATAAAGGTGCAAATACAGTTTTAAACTAATTGGAAGATCAAAGTACAAGTATTCATTCGTAACTTGATTATAACAGGAGGTTTATTATATCAAAGAAATCGATTTTTAAGTTCAATGAATGTGTAGTGTTATTTTGTGATGTATATATCAATATGTATGTGACTAATATATTGTAGCGATTACAATTCAAACACTAAATTAAATTCTTTTGAGAACAATTGATTACTATTTAAAATTATTGAAAGCAGCGAAATATGCACAGTTTAAATAAACTTTTTAAACGTTACTTTTGAATACAAAACAATCATATTTCACATTTTCCAAATATATATAATTTTAGACCACTTTGGACGGCCTTACCAAGAGACAGTTATAATCGTGTAAAACTAAAACTTTTTATAATGCTGAGGCGGTAATTTTGAAGCAAACTCTTGGTCTAACCCCGAGGAGGAATGTAGAGACATGCAAGTAGTACATGACAACACAAAACGGCGTGAATATATCCAACCTTGCCTAGGCTGGTGGACAATTTGAGTGTCTCATGTCTTGGAGTAACTGTGATGAACGAAAGTAGTGGTGGGAAGTTGAGGAACCATAACCATGATGCACATGAATTCATATCAAATGACGGTTCAGTCCAGGGCCGGTTTGCTCTATCTCAGCTCACTCTCACAGGAATATCTGCAAACAGAACAGAACACTCATGACTAGTGAAGTCAATGGCCTGGCGCGTGGGCATGGAAGAGCTGAGTATTGAGCACACCACCGCCCGTGTTAGTACAGGTTAAGAAGGAAGAAAAGGCGTCCACCAGCCAAAGAGGCGAGGCAAGTGAGTTATTGCATAAAATACTCAGGGTGGTCCGAGTCTTTCTCAAACCTCTTGGCCTCCTCTTGCATGCTCTCTTTTATTTTCAAAATAGCAGCTGATTCCGTTTGGTCCTGCAAGGAAAGCGACCTTTAGTGGGTAAGTGTCAACCTACAAAGCACAAGGGTCCCACCACACTCACTACTTAATACTAATCCCTTTTAAAAATATTGTTTTACTATACTTAGAGGTACGTTCCAAACCTGCACCAACTGATCAGTTTATAGCTACCAAAAATATTAAAAATAGTCTACCTTAAAACACCCCAAACGATTCAAATTAAAATGAACGAAAATAAAACATTGGTGATAAAAATGGTAGTTACAGAAAGATTTTAAGTTTTAATTACGTCAATATATAGATCATAAAAATGTTCTTAATTTTGTCTCGTAGAGATGTTTTAAAGTATACTATAAGCAATAAACTCAAAAGCTATGTTTATTATTGGAAGGACCTCTAGGTTAGCTTAGGTTAATTTTCTATGGCTAATACATAAGTAATAAACTAAAAACTAAATAAAAAACCTCTAAATGGATTAATTATTAACTCTATTACTCATTGACTTAATAAGAATTGATTTATTTTATTAATTTGTTAAAAGTAGATTGCTACTCCTTTTAGTTTAAAATTCATTTATTAAAAATATTTAATTTTACTATTGTTATAATCGGTTTTAATTTTTTTTTTTTTTTTTTTTACAAAGATAATATATTTAAAAAAGTTCATTAATATATCCTTTAACCTTAAATATTAAAAATCTACTTTCATGACTAATTTAAATTTGTATTGCTAATGTCTACTAATAATAAAATACAGCATCCAGTTATTAACTACAATCTATGGTCATTAAATAAATACTTACTATTATAAAAAAATATTAAGGCAATATTGGTGTTATGAAACTACTTCTGTTCATATAAAAGTTTATCTTTATACTCCGTCCTGACTTCTAGTAACCAAAATAATTACAATCTAAAACTTCACTACTAGTGATTTCTGAACCACTTCTTGACCAGAACGAGAGCAAGAAAGATATTTTTTGTCACCAGCTATCTCACACTTTGGAATAGAAAATCTTCGACCCTCTTCTGCAATAACATTTTTCATTAACAGCTTCTTTTCTTTATTCTCTACTTGCAAAGGAAACATTTATCACAATCAGTAAGAAGAAATCTGAAGCATTTGCTTTCATTTATCACCAAACCATATTAGAATTTATTAGAGAATAGACATCAGAGATGGAGCATATAGATCAACTCTTATATATGCCAAACTATTTAATATTGTAAAAATTGTAACAAAAACAATTAATACATAATTTTTCAGCAAACTTTAGATAGATACCAGGAAAGGTTTTGTCGATGTGTGCTAATTGACAAAAATACAAATAATTGGACCTGGGATCTAGGAAATTCATTTTGTGTTTGAGTGAGAACAGATTTAAAAAAGGCAATTTGAGACACTTGGAAAAAGAAAAAGGTATGCTTCTCACAACTTGATTGAAATGAAAGCGTTCCATTCCCAAAACTCAAGTTGCAAACAACTTACATTAAAGACAGTCAGACCCCAGTGACATGCCAATTGAAAAGGATCAAAATAAGTTATGAAAAAGACTGCAGAATTCTCAAAGCAGCTGAAAAAATTACTAGAAACAATATCACTGGAAGGAACATAATAATACTCTCCCTAATTCACTCTCTTATGAGTAAATTTCTATCCCTGAAGCCGACCAAGCTTGTGTTGGGAAGGGACGGAATTTATTATTATTTGTCGTGGCGCACCTGGGCATCTTAAAGATGATTGCCACTTAACTTACAGGTGAGGAAAACCCGGAAAACTTCACCCACCGTCATCGAAACGGTAACGCAGGTTTTCCCAAAGTATCCAACAATGTGGTCACCTTCAGATGGATCAAAAAGAAGCTACATAGTAGCTAAGAGGCTTTTAAGTTGCCCTGGCAACACTACAGCAAACAAATACTTGACTATAACTAGAAATAATCTGCACCTGATTAGGTGGATTCTTACTGTGGAATGTACAGAAGCACCTCCAAAGTATAAGGCTGCAGGAGGTGTTAACAAGAAGATAAGATTATTAAACATATTATTTATAATTTCCCGATGCTCTTATCTATTAGGAGATTTCTGTTCTGCGATGTTGTCAACTACATTATATCTGTAGATGGCTGACAAACTAAGAGAGTACACAATAGGCCTAGTAAAGCCTAAGTTCTGTGGGGACAAGTTTAATATAGTAATATAGATCACATGAAATTATGTGATCAGTAGATAGCTGGAATAATTGTTTTATAAATAAAACATAATTACAAAACAATAAACCTAACCTGGTTTAAATAATATTTTGAAATTTCTGGTATTTATAATTTCCATTGTATTAATTAGGAATTATTTTTGTTCTATTGTGTATTGTTTTTAAGTATTACCGTAATACATTCAAAAAAAAAAAAAAATTAGTGGGACCCCTGTAAGCGTAAGCACCAATCACCAATATTCAAGCATACTTACGTTTTCACCAGGTCCTCCAAATCCTATGTTATATTCTCCCATGCCGCTACCGCTATCTTCCCTCGGCGTCCCGGGGCCTCCGTTTGCGGGAGAATTTTTCATACCATCCATACCATCACCGTTTAATACTGGCCCCATCGAGTTAGGTCCCATGGGTCCCATAGGTCCGGACCCATCCGGCCCACCTCCCATCTGGAAGTCACCGGGCATGTTGCCCCCTACCGCTGGTTTCATTAATGTGTACATGTTTTCACCACCTGAATTACTCGAATCTTGGGGACTGGGCATAATAGGGGTACCAGGGCCAGCGGGCCCAGCCGACCCTGGCGGACCTCCATAGTTTCCGGGGGATGATGAAGAGTAGTTCATGGGCTGAAAACAAGTAAATTATTCAAACATTTTTATGAAAAAATATTTCGACAGCTTTGTTAATGTTATTCTATTCAACACAAATAATCACTTAAGTGTTTGGATGCTTTTGGCCTCGTTCAGACTATTGACGAACCTACATATGTTACTGATCATTCTGAAATACAAATTGATCCAATCTTCTTAAATATGCCTAATAAATGTTTAAATCATGGCACGGTAAATGTTGATCACTTTACAGATCATAGAATGGCTTATTATCACTTACATATTAATTATAACGCGCATAAACAGAATTTCATAACTTATAGAGATTACAAAAACTTTGACCCTCTGTCCTTCTCACACGACTTACAAAATATTTCTTGGGAAAATATAATCCTTTTAGAAATATTGACAGTGAGATAAATTATCTAATTGCAACAACCTTAGTTTTGCTATTAAGGAATCTATTTCTCTTATTTCATTAAAAAAAAAAGACAGCTGCTGATTTCTCAATCATAAAATAATGTTATATATATTTTTTGTTTTGTAATTTTATTTCTACTTTCTTTTTTGTTTTTATTTTGTAAACTTTTATGATTAAGTATCGTTTTTGTTAATTCAATATATTTTTTTTTTTCTATTTTTATTAAGATAAATCCCTGTATTGCGGTTAGATGTAAGAATAGCCTCGGCTAAATCTCGCCGAAATGAAATGTACACTTTAATTTTGTACAAATAAAGGCCTTTTATTATTATTATTATTATTATTATAACGTTGGCTGGGTCTTATAAGGCGATATTATTCGTTTCCTACTCGCTCTAATGCTGTAACTCTGTAGTTTTCACACACAGACTTGTGCAAACAGTATTTGAAAGCATTCAATAGCAGATACTGTAGATGTAGGTACTATAATTTATCATGGCGCAAAGTTAGTGTTTACGTAGTATTTCATTGTACCAGTAGCAGATTACTAGGTAAAAATAAGTTAAATACCGAATGGTGCGAAGTAAAACCATCACGATTTAAATTAGTTTTTATCTTTTGTAGTAACTTCAATAAGCTTTATAATGGTTATCTATAATCAAAAAATAATTAAAGGACTTTTTAGTTATTATTAAAAAAGTGGTGTAAAATCCTCTTATATTTATAATTTTTGTTTATGTGGCTTACCGTTGACGTGTTAGGTTGCCACTGCGGCCGTCCTCCTGGACCTGTCATCGTCATCGGTGGCATCGGGCCCCCAGGACCCAGGCTGCTGTTGGGTGGTGGTCCTCTTAATCCAGGACCATAAGTACCAGGTCCTAGTGGACCCATGGAAGGCCCTCTTGGTGGATTCATTCTATTCATGGCTGCAGGGGGTCCTAAGTGAAAAATGTATTAGTTGGGAAATTGAGAAAAAATTGTGTTATACCAACGACACCGCATGCCAGCACCAATGGAGTTATGAATGAGATTTTTTTCAGATATTTCGTTTATTGTTATGATTTAAATATACTTAAATATTTTTTAAGAAACGCTTTGCTATATAAGTTATATACTGCTCAACAATTTAAATGGATATATTCTAAATTTTTAAATGTAAATTTGAAATAAAAAAACTGCACACATTAATTTTATGATGTAACCAAAGACGCAAAACGAAAATTATCTTCAGTGGAAAAAAATGAGTAATTTAAACGTAAGGTAGGAGAAACAAAGTAACAACTTATAAAATTATTGAGAAATGTATAACATCGTTACAAAAAAAATAATAATATCGTGTTAGCACTACATCATTCTTAATGCTTTTATTTTATTCGAAAGACTCATCCAATTATGGATGGGGGATGGTTTCCTCAATTTTTGCAATTGTTTTAATTTTCGAGCCTAAAGATTTAAGCTGTAGATAGCTAGGAGATTATTTTAACATTTTTTAAATTATAATTTCTAGGTAATTAGAATTATCCAGTTCAATTGTTGAGCAGTGTATTTAGAATAAACTGCAAACATTTCCAAGCTTGTTAAATGGACATTTACATTTTTAATATCAATTATTGTGCATAATTTCACAAAAAAAAAAACTAAATGGACATTTACATATCTAAGGCATTGTTTTCAAATTCATATTTATAATTTGTTTCGTTTGTTATTTTAAACGCACTTTAGAGAGGATCCTTAAAATTAATTTAATTCATTTTTAGAACTTTTAAAGATATAATTTATATTTGAATTTGTCAAATTTTGAATTTCTTAATGCATTTATTGTCAAGAGAAATAAAAATGTATATCTGAAGTTATAACTCATCACAAAAAAGGCCCTTTAGTATTAGAAAAAATTATGTTTAAAGCTTTGAAATGGCTAACACATACATTATTTTGCCAATTTCTTCGTAATACTATAAAGGGCCTCACGATATATTTCTAAAACACTAAACAAAAAAATTGTTTCAAAAGCAACTAATTTTAGATTGTGGTTAGGAATATGAGCCGATTTTGGCTATTTTTTCATCTTTAGCACTAGGCATGGTGATTTCTAATAAATTACAAAATAGTCTAGAAAGTAACTAATTTCTTCTTCAAGTCTAATTCACAATACATGTATACATAATCAGAGAGACTGAAAAATTAAGATTTATATCAATTCGAGAGAATTTTAAAATTGGTAAAAGGGCGTTAAAGAATTGCGTAAGCAAATCTAGGGTAGGGGCTAAAATGTTTCTTATTTTTGCTAATGAATGGAATGAAAATTTATATACCTATATATCCTAAGTTGATAATTTTTTTTAACTGCCTACAGAAGTCGTTAAAAAAAAAGAAAGACATCTCAACTGTCATGTCATTCCTCTCCCCGCCGTCAATACAATTTAAAAAGGGAAAATACCAATTATGACATCATTGAAAAGGTAATTTTATGGGGAATCCTTTAATATAACTCTTCTTTTCGTTACTTTATATTTTAACTGACTTTTGCGGGACAAAAAATTGTTACGTATTGTAAAGTGTGGCACTTTATTTGAAAGCTAATTTTATTATTAAATAAATAAATAAACCACATAACATATTAATTACAACGATAACAAATTTTAAGTTTTGTAGAAATAATACTTCTCAAATGTTTAACTTAATATTCAATTTAGATTGGAAAGTGTTATCCGATTCATTAAGTTTGTTCAGGTTTTTCAAAAATACGTTGAGATCAGAGAACTAGTTTACCAAAAGTTATACGCGACGAATAATTTGCAATTCAGCTGTTCCACAAGATTATTTTCTGAAAATTGGATGTATATTTTACTGGTCAAGCTTGTACCAGCACCTCTCTTAATATACCTAGATGATAGAGTAAGCACCGATAACGAAACAGATGGAACATTTTTAAAAATAAATTTAAAAAACAGAAACGGTTCGATTTTTTTACCAAGTGAAACATCTTTTTATCATAGTTCGATTTGGGGGCTAGCAACTTTAATGTAGTACATTTAAAACAGGCTTAAGAGATGAAGAGGTGGCGTCCTTAAAAAATGAAGTTATTTTATTAATAAAATACCAAATATTTTTTGAGCTATCTAAATTTTCGTCAATCTTGCGATCCTCTCTGTAAATAATCAAATTTGGAAACTGGATTCCCCTACTCACAAATAAATATGGGAAATATATCTATTTTGTAACTATGGTGCTGAATATCCGATCCCAGCAAACACTCAGTAATCCAAAATCCTCAATCAATATTTAACATAGAAATAATATAGAAGAGCAATATAAATATAACATTTAAGCAGAAATTGAAACCTAATGTGTATAAAAACGCGTCTCTGCGCTTGACATCGCAAAATAGTGTGTCTAGAATGCATGACTGTAGTGTTGTCAAGTATATTAAACATACCTAACACAAAAGAATTTCAAATTTATTTATTTTTAAATTATATGATTTAAACAGTTTATATCTAAATATCAGCTCAAAATAACTTTTAAATAATAAACTAATATGTAATCAATGTATTTAGCACCCATACAAGATTTATGTCTGGAAATTAAACCTACCTAAGAATTATAATTATGTAAATAGAGAGGGGAAACATTATCGGTATCTGACAAAACAATGAATAATGTTTTGTTAAAAATTGTTCAAAATAGTAAACAGGTTATGATCTTTCCGTCTAAAATATTCTGACAGTTCTGTTATTTCCGTTTTAATTTAAATGAGATGTCACTTTTATTATTCCTGATACCGATGGAACATGAAATGTTGTTTGTTTGGAATATATACCTTTGCACAACGCTCATGACGTCAGAGACCGTGTTTCAGTCAGGTATGATTTAAAAAAAATTGAAAACGAACCCTATTAAATTGTACCTTTACTTAACATTTGTGACGTCACTGGCGGAGTTGGCATAGGGTATACTTTCAAATACTGGTTTCAATGCATTTCTTCATTCCTTACCGCGTGCGAACCAGTACAGTTTAAAGAAATTTTAAAAAACCTACTTTAAAAATAAAGTTGTTAATGATTTTCTCATGGAGTCCATCTTCAGATCTTGACTAAATGTATATGGAACTATTCCTTTTCTAACAAAAAGAGAATCATAGAAATCGGGCAACGTGGTAAATAATTATCGCTCAACATACATAAAAAAATATTTCAACGAATTGAGAATATCCTCTCATTTTGTAGTATGTTAAAAAACCGTATATAGTTGAAATTTTCCAAGAAAATGTCTATTGTCTGTCTAAAATTTGATAATCTGGTATTGTATGATCAATCATACTAGCAATCGATTGGATACTGTCTATGTAAATTTATTGGAATTTGGCATGTCAAAAATATTTTTTATAATAACATTATTTTCTAGTTCAAGTTCAATTAAGTTATTCGACTTATTATTTTTTGAATCAGACATTCAAGATATTTCCACATTTCCTTTGAATTTCCCCTACTTTCGTAAATATTTTTCTCTGTGTTTACTTTTTTCTCTTCTAATTACGGTAACGGCCCTATTTCTATGCATTTTTTATTCATTCCAATTATTTTGTTTTTTTTTTCTTGTGAATAATTTTTATATGCAAGGTCTCTCTGTACCTTGTGGCAGCTTTTACATTTTCATTCCACTATTTTTTGTATTTAGGAAATAATTTTATTTGTTTTTTTTGGCGCTACAGAATCTATTACGTTTAAAATATTTGTTATATTGAAAATGGTAACAATTGTAAGTAACGACTTATAGTCTCAACTGGTAACATAAACTAATGCCATAACATTTTATGCCATATCTTTCTTAATAAGGACTGTCAGAACCATATTAACCTTACTAGAATTTTTTTCAACGTTTTTTATATAAAATCGTCTCTAAAAATATATGACTTCCAACCTGAAACATCGTGTGAACTATTTGTTCGATCAATAAAAAACTTACAACGGTCCTGTCTGAGCCAGCACCGTTATGCGCATGAGCTCAGACACAATTTTTTTCTCCTTATGGTTTTATTTTAGATATATGAAATTGGCTTTTTATACTGTTTCTATGATATTTAAGCGTAAAGACTGATGTTTCCATCTTTTTTTTAAGCCAAAATTGTAATTTATCCAACTTCTTAACTGGGAATGTCAATTTTTCTCAATGACTTGGAAACTCTGGGATGTGGACATTATACCTTTGACTGGTTTCCTTTCGTATTTTTTTTTATTCACTATATATTATAACAATTTATTATAGACGGACTAAGAATGTTGGGGACAAACACATTAATTATAATTACAATATTTAAACATTTTTGTAAAAATGTTCGACCATGTGTAAGATGAATTACTAATTTTGGAAGTTGTCGGTTAACTCAACAAAGAGTGTATTCTATTATATATTAATTTTATTATATTATTATTATGACTGTAAATAATAATTCAAACAAAAATTACAAATTCACTTTAACATGAGCGATGATCTAAATAAAGCCTGTAGGGAGTAAACTAAAGCTAATTTATAAAAAAAAGGTGTAATGGTTTTCCAAAGCTTCTAAATAAATAGTTTTTGAGATAAGACAGAAGTGGCAGTGGCTAAATGCTATACGTATTTAAAACTATTATTAATAATATTTTGAGTGTTAGTCACAGAAACAATAAATACTGAAAATGTTTGCTGGGACCGAACGAAATAATCTGAAAAATGCAGTTAAAACTATCGCAAATATCTTAAGACAACAAATTAAAAGCAAAGCAAGCAAACAAGTGTATAATGCTTATGAACGTGTGATGGTGAAGGAGCGCATTTGCCTACCTTGCCAACCTACAAACTCTCCGCCTTCACCTGGAGACAGAAATAGATGCATTACATGAGGCATACACTGCTCAAAATTGAATAGGGATATCAATGAACATAGAAAAATCATTGAAAAATCTATTCAACGTCAAAATATTATATAAATGAGTAGAATAGTTAATATCTTATCCTGAAGATATATTTTTAGTATAAATCAGCCTTAAAAACTACTCGCGCCTGCGGCTTCTCACTACTAGGGCGTCTTCGATACGTTACAAAAAATATTTAATAATTTATTAAATTCGGAAGGGAATCCAACCTCTCAAATATGGTCATCTTTAATGAGAAGTAAAACACTCGAAGTCTATCGCGTATAAAATTCTTTATTAAATAAGGATGTATTAAAATTCGTTGAAATTGATATATTTAATTGTGTCAATAAAAAGATACAACTATGTGAAAATTATATATTTTTGAATTTGAATTGCTCTTTGTATTTTCCTTCAGTTTGACATAATTTTTGTCAATACATGTCAAGTAAATAATTTCCCCTAACATTCTTTTCTTTCATCACCTATTTGTAACCTTATTAGTGTTCAGCCAACTGTCTTTATTATTTATAATTTAATCGTAATATCTATATCTTTATCGTAATAGACAATGGTGTTATTTAACTAATTCTTTTAATTTTTGATTGTCATTGTAAGAAATCATATTAGGTTTGTATGATTTTCTTTGTATTAAACATTTTTTGTCAATTGTCATTATTGTATAGGCCTGAAACTGATCGCCATATTCAATAAAGAATAAAATGTGAGATATATTTCAACTGTTTTATTTATCTCAAAAATAATTCAATGTTAAACATATTAAGAATGGTCTGAAGGACTTCAGTCAATAGCCTGTAGGATTTCTAAAGAACATTTTATAATATAATAGACATATTGTCTAAGTTTTCTAAAACACATTAATGATCCTAAAGATACAGATACTGAAGTTAAACAATAAATTAGACAAGGTATAATAGGGACTTAAGTGTATCAAACATCGATGCTCACCTTACTATATACAGCAATGGCGTGGAATCGTATGATCCGCTTGCTCAAATTTTGATTTTAGTAAGTACAAAAATGTTATCATCGAGATGTATTTCTAGCTCTTCTAAAACGAGATTATTTTACGACATACCACTGAATTTCAAAAATTATTTGTTACAATAAGTGTAGCAAATAATTTATTTTATGAAAATAGATACGGTCACGCCACATCGAAAGGTAACCGACTTGCTGATTCACTAGCCAACCTGGCCCTTCTATTGGCCTGACAAAATCGGTAGTGACAGACCTAATCAAAGAACATTCCGTTGTGAAATTCAAGGAAAGATGGGATGAAACAAGAAATTGCAGAGTTGCCAGGGAGCTCTTAAGTTATCCTGTCAACACTGCAGCAAACAAATACTTGAGTATGACTAGACAGAATCTGCGCCTAGTCACAGGCATCCTGACTGGTCATTGCAGAGTACGAAAGCATCTCCATATCATGGGGCTATCAGAATCCGCACTCTGTAGAGGGTACGAACAAGAAGATCAGACCATCGAGCATATCCTTTACGATTGCCGACGTTCTCATTTATTAGATTTGTGTTCGGTGAGTATCGGCCGATATAAGAGAAGCACCTCTTGGCGACGTTGTCGACTACATTAAATCTGTAGGCTGGCTCACGAGCTAGGAGGTGCCTATCATCTCAGGAGGATGCACAATGGGCCTAATGAGGCCTAAGTGCCGTGGGGTAACCCACCTTCCACACGTTACAGATACAGATACGTTTCATGGAAAAACGCACAGAACTAATTATGATACACCTAAATCTAACTCTTATATTGGTGTTATAAAGAGATTCTATTTATATGTATATTGATAGTTTTATTTTGCAACTTTGTAAATAGTATCTGTAAGCCTATTTAGAATTACTTTTATATAGAGCTTTAAATTAATTTAATAAATATAAATATTATATTAAGGGATCCCCTTCGCGCCTAAAGCCTAGAAAGAACAATAAGTTATACCTAATTCTTTGTAATATTTTTTACACTAAAAAATTTACGTCTGCTGACAGAAAAACTAGTATTTAAATATATTATAGCAGAGTAAGGGAATTCACAAAAATTTAAAACTATCGTTGAAGTTAACACAAGAGTTTGGAAGTTTTAGAAATCAAGACTCATCTTTCAATTGATTAAAATTATGAATGGTAAATTTGTAGTTAAATTTTATGAGAAAATGTTTGCTCCAAATGAAAAATAAAGCGAATTCTAAACTAAATACTCTCCAAAAGACGAATGCGTGGTCGCCTCAAGAAAAATATGGAAAAAAGTTGTAGAATTGGCTATGGATAGTATATAGATAGCTAAAGATAGAAAATATACAAGAGAGAAGACCAAAGCGAATTCTTCAAAAATATCCGAGTTTATATAAATAAAAACATACTGGCTCACCGACCGCCGGCGGTGCTTGCAGTTGTTGAAAAGAAAACCGTCTTCCGGCGGCATAGTCTTATTCATACAGGAAAGCCGCCGCAAATCTAAATTGATTTGTTGATCAGGGCGGCATGCTATCAGTGAATTGAAAAATGCCGCCGGACGACGGTCTACCGTATTTAAAACATTGAATGCCGGTAGTAAGAAAAAATACTTGTAAAATCGTCTACATTTTTGTGGCAAATGATCATATGTCGTACGCGTTTTATTTGTACATCGGTCGTTGGTGTTTATGCCGGTCGGCGTAGGCAGGTATGGATTGAAATTATATGGTGGCGGCGAAACCGCCACCCTACGAGAAGTTGTTACTTCGTCTTCTTGTTATCACGGCATTATGATGGTGGGTGAGGTTTTCCTCACTTGTAAGTCAAATGGCACCATCAATCATCTTTAAGTCGCCCCGGAGCGCCACGGCAAATAATAATAATAATAGCCGTCCCTTCCCCTACACAAGTCGTTCAGTCGACTTCAGGGGTTGAAATTCACTCGTAAGGGGGTGAATTAGGGAGAGTATTATTATTGTTATATTATATTATTATAAAATACTACTGCTAGTCACGGCGTAAATGAAAACAAACAAGACGCATTCACACAAACACCTCCCTCTACAGCAATTACAAATGATTAGTGTTGTCTTCGATACGTGAGTTTTTTCCGGCGGCATTTAATGTTTCAAATACAGTAGATCGTCGCCGTCGTCCGGCGGCCTTATCAATACTGTGATAGCCTGCCGCCCTCATCAACAAATCGGTTTAGATTTTCGGCGGCTTTCTTATATGTGAGAAGACTGCCGCCGGAAGACGGTTTTCGTTTTATTAAATTCAACTACCGCCCCCGGTCGGCTAGCCAGTACGAAATACAAAATGTATAAATACTATTACAAACATTCTCAATAATCATTAACGATTTAAAAATAACTACCAAAATAGTCCAAGCGTTCAAATTTACAAACTACCAAAAGTTAAAAGCTTTCCATATCGGTTTTAAATTCTTTAAAATATCATGCTGAATTTTTTGAGAATAATAAAACGTGTATGTGTGTGATTAAAGTCAGTTTAACATATTTTTCAAAACATTACAATATAGATGTATGGAAATTTAAAAACGGGGAATATACCTTATAATGAATCAAACAAAGTATAATAGGAACATGCACATAACAGAGACCGCTGTCGCTCAACGGGCGTCAATCAGAGTCTGACAAGATAAATAATTTACTTTAAAAAATGTTAGAAGATTTTTCAATGATATCTGATAATAATTCATCAATTTTAAAACATATCCCAATTTAATTTGCTGCAGTATATCATGAAACGGCTTCATGCTTGTGCAAATCTCTTTTGTTATAATCATTATTAATTCGAATAATTAATAAATTATTAATTGATTAATGTTTACTATTATTACAGCTCATAGAGAACGAGCCAAATTGAAGTAAAAATCAAATCTTAAATACAAAAAAAATACCCTACAAGTAAAAAAGTTTCAGCTTGTTTCCTTTAATCCATAGTTTTTACTAAGGAGTCATCCATAAAATACGTCACACATTAAGGAGGGATGAAGGGAGGGAGTTGAAAAAGTGTGAGATTGTATGACAAATTTCGTCACATTTCAAAATCTAATAAATTTTTTAAAACATGAAATTTGAACTATCATCGAAAAAAAATTATTTAATAATTTTAAGATGTAGAATTGCAAAATAGGTATGGGGGAGTCTCACAAATGTGACAATTGCAGGAGGAAAGGGGGCAAAATCATGAAATTCGTGCGATGTATTCTATGGATGGCCCTTCAAAAATGAAGTTATATTTTACAATATTCAGAAGAAAATATGTATCTTAATCATCAAAATCTTTCAATCTAAATAAAAGTATGTTTAATTATCCAGTCATTTCATACAAAAATAATTTTGGTTTAACCCATAATCTGGCTCGTTTCTACATTTACTTAAAAAAATAAAAAATATAATTATAGAGTATAATTAACTTACCTTGCCTTGTGGGATCCATATTATTCATAAGGGGTTGTCCAGGCGGCTTCAAATAAAAAACAATCAGAACATATATTTCAAAAACATTCCAAAAAATAATTCTATATCATGAAAATAATGAAATCAGAAATGTTGTAAGGGTGGGTCATCAGAATGTATGGAAGACATAAAAACAGTAAAAATTATAATAACAATATAAGAATTAAATTGCTAATTTAAATTGTAGATGACCTCCTGGTTTTATGGCTTCCAAATAGTTGCCTAGCGTTCTATGTTCCCTGATTTTTTTTTACATTTCCTAAGCAAAGTGTTTCTTGTTTTTGAAATTTTGCCTTTTTTTTTTCTATATAAATAATAATCAGTATATTTGCTGCTTCTGTTGGTAGTATTCTGCGTGGTATTTGCACTATTTGACATCAGGCTTAGTCTAGATTATGGATTTTTTTATCACCATATTAAGTCTTAGATTAAAGAAAAAAGTTGATTCTACATTACAAAATAGAGTTTCTAGCGTATAGATGAAGTGGTTTTAATTAATAAATGGTCAGATATTCTTTTTGGAGGATTTAAAATACATACGCCATTGAAATCACTTCCAATTTGTGGCATTCTCACACCAGGTCTAGGTCCCGATGGATAACGGGGTCCCATGAAAGGCTGCGACGTCATTATCTGCGAATGGGGAGGTGGTGGTGCTGCATGAGGCGAAGGCTGGCTTGACGGGTGGGTTGGAGGTGAAGGACGTAACGTAGAATTCTAAAAAAAATAATAATATTTATGTAGAGTTGTTTTACTATAGGTTTTCTGTATACATCCTCTGATTAAACCGATTTTATTGATGCATCTCTAATATCCTGTAATGTCAATAAAGCTACACCTAAGTAGACTTGTGCTTCTTTAACATAAAACATTTCTACTAACAGATAATTTGAATAGTCTAAATGACGAAACATATTTTTCTAGTTACCAAAAGGTGTCAAACATAATTATTCAATATCTACATGAAGTAACTCTCATAGTATGTTTCAAGTTTCATACCTTGTTTATTCTTACATTTTCTTTTTTAATAATTTTAAAATTATGATATTAAGTTTGTTCATCATCAAAGATGTATAATTATTTGATATATATTTTTTTTGAGCTAGTTTTTAAAAATTGTATTTAAATAAAGTATAACTACTTACTGGGAAGAAACCTGGAGGTAGTGGACCACTGGGCATGCCATCTGAAGGTGGCATTTGACCTAAGGGGCTTGGTGCTGGACCAGTATTCTAAAATTACCAAAAATTATCGAACACACTCAATGTCTTTTTAGAATTCAACATTTAAATTTTATAAGTAACTTACATGTGCAATTCCATTTACACCATAGCCAGAATTCACAAAACCCTAAAAAATATTTAGAATTTAAAATATATAAAAAATGATATAGAAAAAATGTTTCTAAAGGATGAGTTATTTCCAAAGACTACTTTAGAAACATTTTTTATTGATCAGTTCATTTAATATACGCTATATCTATATACAGTGTGTCCCAAATTCGAATCTCTCAGGAAAATTTAGAGGGTAACAATATTATGTAAAAATCCAAGATGGATGCAATAAGAAATAACAAAGTTACAAGTAACTCTAAAACAGAAGACAATTTAATAAAAACATTTCCACAAAAATATTTTCCATTAAAAAGCGTCTTAAAAATGTAACAAAAAAATATGTAAAAAAAAAAAACAAAATCGGGGATTTTAAATCTTTTGAAATAAATCAAAAACCACAAAACTTTTAATAATTTTGAAAATGGATTTGAAATAAGCATCTCATTTTCTAAAACAGACCTTTCTATTTCCTCTATTAAGTGAGATACCAATATAAAGACTCTAATTTAGGACACACTAAAACTGTAAAAATTTATAATACTTCAAGTAATTAAATAATGTGACAATGACCAGAGTATGTACAGTATAATTCAGATCATCTAATCAAAATAAAACTTTGCAATTGTTGCAAGAGAACCAATTGATAGCAGTATTTTTTTTATATTCATATAAATAAAAAAAAAACTTCATTTCTAAACTATTTTTAGTAACTTCTGTGATTTGTGATCTACCTACTATATTTTACTTTTAAACTACTAAATCATAATAGTATGAGAAACGTTTGATTATGTTATAACAACAGCTTTCTTTTTTGTAATTTAACAGTCACACAAATATTTAAAAACAAAACATTATACCCAAAGTTTAGACAATTTTCCTTTTCCTGGTCCATGATCTCAGAACTTTGGGTGAGTCTTAGCCACCTCAATGATCATTCTCTTAGTCTTTCAATCTGTCATTTTATTACAAGCTCTTTCTTTCTCCATTAACATTATCAAAGTCATAAATAAAACTTACACTGCATCTATTATTCTCAATGATCCAACATTATTCCCTACAAGCCTCTACATAAACTATAAAAGAGTCCACCTTTGGTGTTTTTATAGACATAGAAAGTGATTTAAATAAGACAATTTTTCCCAAGAATAATACACTCCCTTACCAACAGAAATGTTCCACTAATGGTTAGTGGGTGGATACATAACATGCTCTCAAAACAAGCAGTAAACATAGTGTAGGAGATGTGAATATAAAAGGCTTGGTTTTGAAGGGATATCCACAGGGTGGGGTGCTATCACCTCTACTGTGGAACATGGCCGTCAACACCCTCATCTACCACCTCAATAATGACAGTCACTACACAATAGTATATGCAGATGACCTGGACATTCTGCAAACAGGTTATTTTGAAAAAATACTCTGTGAAAGAATGCAAGTAGCTCTCAAAATTATAGAACAGTGGTGCAAGGACCATTCACTATCAAGCTCAACAAGACAGAAATGGCCTTCACAACAAAAAGGATGAACATATAGCTCATAAACACAAAACTAAACTTTACAACAGAAGTGAAGTACCTAGGTCTCACCTTTGACAGCAAGTTAACATGGAACTCACACCTAGAAAACAGTAAAAAAAACATACATTGCTTATGAACAATGCTGTCGAACCGTGGGCGCACTTGGGGTTTCTCCCACAGGGTCATCCCATGGACTTACATGGCCAACATACATCCTATGCTAACATATGGTGCAGTTGTCTGGGTCGCAAAAATCAAAAAATTGATAGCTATCCGCAAAAGATAACAAATTCAAAGAACAGTATGTTTCAACATAACAGAAGCCTGAAAGTCATTCTTAGTCTCACTCCCCTTGATATCTACATCAAGAAGGTTGCTCTGTTGACAATGACATGCATCTGCCTGGTTGAAATAGAACTTGATTTGTCCATTAAAAAGTTACTTTAGATTTAGCAGTCAAATGTAAATCTACAGACCAAGCAACTGCATTTTTAATTAAAATTATTGCCAAAGATGATATTTTCGATTTTGACTCAGGGAGTTTCTTAAATATGTTTTTATTGATTTTAGTTTTGGGACTTGAATGTTGGATTTTTGTTTATTATGTGGCGTGTTAAGATTAATATAAATAAATTATTAAATTTAATTTAAAATCTAAACCTACTGTTTATTAATTATTCCCTAAAACAACTATAAATTTAGAACATGTGGGAATTTGCTTTATTTTTTTTTGTTAGTTCAATTGGGGCCCTTTGAAGTCACGGGCCTAGTCCCACTGAACTCAAGGCGACGCTGCTGAATTTCTTTAATACTGATTAAAAGTTTTAATTTTTTAGTTTGCATTTTGAAATTTTTATTGCTAACATTTTGATTTTGGCAAGGAATGAAAAATTATTTATTATCTAAAAAGGTTACTAGAAATAAATAAAATGAACAGGTATAAGTATATTAATTGCAGGGTTGGCAGGTACAGTTTTTTTGCACCTAGGTTTTTTGAAGATAAATATTAACAATTTACAATTTTATTAATCAAATCTCACTAGAAAGGGTGCAAATATTAGTGTATATGAAAACAAACTTTTTGCTATTGATATTAATAATAGAGACAATTAAAAAAAACATTTATTTATTGTTCACTTCTTAGTTTTTTTTTTGTTTGCAAAATGTGATTTTTTAATATAATAAAACTATTTTTCAAGTTTTGCTTGTATTTTTTGTTTAACTTTATTAACTTTTGACATATACAGGGTGTGCCATACAGTTAGATCCATATAGGATTTTTTTTTAATATTGTTTGAAAATAAACATCATAGGGCAATCAGCTCTGCTTATTTAAACACTTAAAATAGCCTATATCAAAGTTATCTACTGACTTTAGGTTTCTGTCAAATACATATTTAATATTTTTTTAAAGATTTTTCAAAAAAATACCAACTTTAGCACCCATACAGCACACATTATTTCAGAAATATTTCAAACGTTTCAAACATATAACATTTCAAGCACACATTTCTGAAATATTTTAGTTAGTTATTTCACTGAAAATGTTTCTGAAACATCGTATAAATGTTGCTAAACGTGTTATGTTGTAAAAGGCCAACACTTAATGAAGAATTCTGATTTGTGAGAAGAAGAAGAGGATGGGATATGTAATTATTTCCTATCAGCTAGAGACAACCCTATATTCTAAATAATTATAGATTGGAGTTGTCAGTTTTTGCCATGTTTTTTTTGTTATATATGTGTTGTGCTGTTGTTATATGGGAAGCAGAATATGTCTTTATTAGAAATTGAGGTGAGTCCTACACCAGTTTTATTTATTAGTTCTACAGCCGCTAGCGGAGCTTCATGTTTTATTTAGGCATGAGTATTTATATAAATACTTTTTAATTATCTATAATTTGTTTCAGATTAGTGCATTTAAAGGAATTCGTAGAAATGAAGTAATTTGCCAGCTTTGGGGATGTGCCAGTAAAAGTACCATCCAAGTTATTCAACATTTCCAAAATAAAGTATTAAAGAACATAGTCGATGCACCCTGGTATATACTGCCACAATACTGATCTTCATAGGGACCTTAAAGTGGAGACTGTAGAAAATACAATACAAAAATTTGCCAGTAGTCATCAACAACGACTGCTCCAACATGGAAACCTTGAGATTATCCAGCTCAACAATGCCAATCTATAGAATATTAGTTTATGAAGTTTTTAGTCCCTTGATAAGTTAGATTAGAATAAAATTGCTAAATGATCAGATTGTCATAATCATAAATGTTTCATTTGGAGCATTTATTAAAAAAAAACTAATTGTTTCAGATAAGTGCATTTAAAGGAATTTGTGGAAATTAATTGATTTGCTTTGTTTAATAATCAATGTTCGAGTTTTGTGTATTTTAAATAAACATGTATATTTATAAATGTCTTTTTTACTTTCCTATCTGTATACAGATATAAGGAAAGTATAGGAAAAATGATTTTTTCGACCTCGAGTTTTCGACGGATTTTTCGTTTCGAGGTCCCCTGAATCCGTTTTGACTATTTTCGTGATGATGTCTGTATGTGTGTGTCTGTATCCACCATAACTCATGAACCGATACACAGAAAAACACCAAATTTTAAACTTAATCTTTATTCCAGCGTCCAATGAACAGATTAGATTTTGGGCAGAGTCGGAACATCTGGGGGGGTTATAGGTGGTTATTTTTATATTTTATGGAATATATCTGTTATTTACGTTTAAAGAAAAAAAAATTTCAAATAAAAGTTACTTCTAATATTATTATCTATATTTTCTGTTCTATACAAAATTTTCCTAAAATGGTCCGTATTCGAGAAATTTGACAAAAGTTAAAAAAAATAATTTTTTATAAAAATTGTTCAAATAAAAGTTGTTTGTAATATAATTCTCTATAATTTTTATGCTATACATAATTTCTCTAAAATGGACCGTATTTGAGATATTTGAGAAAATGTGTAAATTTTGAATTTTGAAGAAAACTCAAAAACGGATAAAGAAAAAAACATTAAATTTTAAACTTAAGTTTTATTTCGGCCTGACGTGAAATGATTAGATTTTGGACAAAGTCGGAACATCTGGGGGGGTACTTTATGGGAGGCCGTTTTTATATTTTATTGAATATATCGGTTATTTATGATTGGAGAAGAAAATTGTTCAAATAAAAGTTACTTCAAATATTATTATCTATAATTTTTGCTTTATGTCAAAATTTCCTGAAATGGTCCGTATTCGAGAAATTTGAGAAAATATGCAAAATTAAAATTTTTAAGAAAATTGTTGAATTAAAAGTTGTTTGTGATATCGATCTCTATAATTTTTGTTTATACATGATTTTTCTAAAATGGACCGTAATGGAAAAATTGTAGGAAAAGTGCTAAATTTAAATTTTTCAGTATTTTCGTTTTCAATGAATATCCATAGAAAAATTAGGTAGATCTATGTGGAAAATGTGTATATTTAGTTTATCCTCTAAACATTTATAGAGGTGCTGTAATAGGTTGTACAAAATAACCAGAAAAAGCCTATAATAACTAGATAGGAAAGTCATGTGTTGGACAAATCAGATTTTTTAGTCTAATAATATTTTAGAAAAAAAAAGCTAGAATAAATTTCTGAAATATTACTATTTATTATTTCTAAAAGATTTCAAATTTCCATTTCAGAAATATTACTGTGAAATATTATATTTAGAGGACATTTTTACATTTCAGAAATGTTTCTGGGATGTTTCGTAATATTAATACAACATTACAAATGTTTCAATGTAATATTTTCGGAAATGTGTTTGTACTGTATGGGTAAGGGCTATTTTAAATTTTTAAAAAAGCATAGGCGAATGTCCTAGCTTTTTTTCCAATCGTAATATTAAAAACATTCTTATATGGATCCAACTTTATGGAACACACTGTATGAACTAAAAAACTTCAAAAAATCTAATTATATATTTTTAATTTTTAGGTTTTTTCCCACCCTGATTAATTGTAGATTATTTTGTATTTGAATATCTATAGGTTTAAATTATAATGTTTTTCAGTTGAAAATGAACTTTCTACTTTCTTCTAGTTCAAAATTAGAAACTAGAGAGAATTCATATAAAAGTTCAAACCACGTGTCAACAGTTTTGTTGAAAAAATTGATAGGCAGGTGTATAATTCGGAAAGGAAAATAGTAAATAAAACTTAGGTAGTTAGCCGCCAATTCGTTGTCTATATATCAAAAATACCGTCAAGCCGACGTATCGTAACTTGAAGTTGGAGATAAAAATTCAAGGTTCTCTACTCAAGCCATCAGAAAGTCAACCAAGCAAACAACCAAACATTCAACGTATTGTGCCAACAGTTGCCAAACCAAAACAATCAAAATTTTCTACAATTTCCCAGTTTCAATGTAAACGTAAAAATAGATCCCGTTGTAAAATTGGTTATAGTAAAAAAAAACTATTTAATTAAAAAATTGAACCAGTTTCAGGTCAAGTAATGAATTGGTCGACTGTACCTGGTCAAACGCGTATACTGCACAGCGTTGCCACATCTTCAACTATGAAGTATTGATCGCATTAAATACGAGCACAGAAGTAAAAAAAATACTCACGTAATCATGAAAGGCTTTTGCTTCTGAAGAATGTTCGCAAGTGTCCCTCCTTTCAGGAGCGGCACAATATAAATCCCAAAATACGCTAAAATATTGCGAAATTAATAAATATAAAAAACGATCATAATGTCAACATACCACCACCAAGAATGTAAAAATCCTGGAGGTTCCCCTAACGTGATGTTTTTCTCCCATCGAATCTAAAAAACTTACACAAATTACAATATATCTACTTTGTTTTTTGGAGAGAAACTCACCTCCGATAAAAATGTCTGTGCAGCTTTTTGTGCACCAACGTGAAGTAAATATTCGTACACATACAGAGCCAATCTGTAATAAAAAAGTTTCTATTTCTATAGGTATTTTAATTGAAATTTTGTAATATTTGCAACGTAACTAAACATCGAATACCTGGGTATTATTTTCAATAGGAAAAATGTAAACAAAACAGGTACAGCTTAGTATCAAGGCCTAGATAATCTATGAAATGAGTATTTTACCTAACAGACGGGACGTAATATTCCTGAACATAAAAGTATAAGTATAGTCCCAATTTGCAAATAAAAATTTAGTATATTTCCAATGTTATTATAGTATTAGACAAGTAGGAGCATTGAGTTTATGGTAGAAGTTTAGCATACTAGTTGCTTCAATTATTTTTAAAACATGGATTCACGAGAGTAAAGAAAAAATAGACTTAACTAGGGTACTTACTTTTCTCTCGCTTGTGCATCGGACGGCACTGATGATCCCTTTCCTTTTGCATACATTTTTAAATAAATTTATTTAACGAACGTAACCTACATACATTGAAATAATGTAATGTTCGAAACTATTATTCGATGGAACACGCTAGTTCTACATGATAGAAGATGCTGTTCATTGCATTATCTACACAAATACGCACTATAAAATCTACATCACCATTTCAACCGTTTATTACTCGAATTTGTAACTTTAAAATTTGTAAATATCATGTTGAATACACATCAAAGAAGCTTTAGGTTCACAACACGTCAAATCAAAATGTTATTCGACGCCGCTACACGAAATCATCACTAGAATATCGTTCATAGAGCATGCGTTAAAGTTGAGTCTACCTCTAGTTGTCCCGTTTCCCGTTACAAAATGACTACGCTTTGCTCTTGCTATGGTTCACTGCTTCCTTTGTTCATATTGTATTTATTATTAATGAAATCGCGACACTTCTTTCACCAAGTTTCGTATTCACTTCATTAATTAGTATCATATTTTTATAGAAAACGAAAGTTACGATGTAATTGAGATTGGAGGAACCAATATGACAACGACCCTATTATTTGTTAAACTCAAATGAGATGAGAGATGACAGTGCGCATTGTGCGCAAACACACAAACGTTCCAGGGACAAAACTGTTCCAGTCAAATCAGTAAAATCATTAGGATGCGTATTTGGAAGAAAATCTGGTTAAACTTTTTAAATTCCTCAAACCAATATTTTCTGAAACGCCAACAATGTTTTTTTTTTCTCACCGATAAATTAAATTATTTATAATTATTAATAAAACTTACACTTAGCTGTAAAATTAATATTTTTAAATTTTACTCTACAAATACAACCAAGAATTGAAAAAAAATTCTGGATAAATATCACCTAAAATAAATTATAATATTTAAAACTAGAAGTTTAAATGTTTATTTAATTTAAAGTATTGGTATGCTTGATTTTCTTCTTTTTCAAACAACTTTTGATCTTGTACTACTTTAGGGGCGGCGTCCATTTTGATACGAGGTTACTGGTATATAGGTGACCAGAAATACAACATTATGAAATCTTAGTTGCATACATAATTTACCGATTATAAAAAAATAATACAATATTATATCTTATCCAATAGCTATTTATAAAATGCCTTACTTTAGGTAACGAGTGAATATTTGCAAGACTAGCAGAACGAATTACATAAAATCCAGGGATGTGCAGAGTTTCGTGGAGGTCCTCCCGCAAACTTTCTCTAAAAAAAATGATAAACAAACAAAATTATTAGAGACCATAACATAAAAAAATTATTTTGTTTCAAAATTTTACGCTAAATTACTATAAAATATAATAAAACAAATATCTCAGAAAAATACAATGTAAAAAATTACAAAATAATGGATCTGACTTTTTTAATTAAAAGGCCGGCATATATTAGGTCACTACGGCCGACAGTCGGGCCGGTCACTTTGCCCATCATAACCAATTAATGGGCCTTCATTTCCTTTAATGTCTAGAAATAAATATATTGGCAATTAATAGCCGATGGGAAGTTAACAGGAAATTGCTGGCCTTTTACCATATTAATAAAGTCCATGTGTCTGGCACATTATCAGAACAGGATATTCGATAGTGTCTCTTTGACCAGTAGTACCGTTTGAACTATAAATTCTATACAAAAACAGAAGGCATTTCAATATAGAATATTGTAGACATTTTATTTAATCCAGCTATATAATATAATAATTAAGAAAAAATGTCTTCTCCAAATAAATTATTAATACAATATTCTAAATTAACAAGAAAAAGCAAAATATTACAATAAATACTGAATACCAGCAATGCGAGATTGGCCTCATAGTAACATGTCCATTTGCTGAGTATGTAACAAGCGATCATCGGTGTCTCCATCTATGAACGTGGGACGGAGCCCTCCTGGACTGTTGGAGTTGGGTCTGCGGCAGTTAAAAGCCTTTTGACTTTTACCATGCTTTTACCCAATACAGTTACTTACCCCCCCCAGACAGCACACCAAATCCTTTGGATATCTACTGGACATTCCAATATCCACTGAATGTCCAGTCCATGGTGGATATCTATTTTATATCCATGAGATGTAATTTATAGACATGCAAATGTTCATAAATAATAGTAATTATATAGCAAATTATTAAAAAATTACGCCATTGTGGCTAATAGTACCGTTCAGATATTTAAAATAAATTTTTTTAACGTGTATTTAATATCCCATGGACATCCACAAAAGGGTGAGATTACAGAACGTCTGCAACTTTGCAAATATGGCGGACTTAACAAATGTAAGTATTCCAAAAAATATCTGCAAATTCGCAATATTTATTGTGGTTTATTACCCCCAACAACACTAAACCCAAATTTGGAATACGAAAACTTGATACTTGCATGTGTAAGTCAGTCATATTTGCAGATTTTCAAAGTTGCCGCCATATTTGCAGATCTGCAAAGTTGCAGACGTTCTGTAATCTCACCCTAAAATATATCAAAGTCTAGGCGCGAACGCAAACTATGGTGGATATCCACTAGATGTAATTTTTGATTTTGCTTACTAAGTATAGATGGCGATATCACTTTCGCTCATTGAATATCTACTCTTGCTCAACCCGCGGTAACTGAGTTTGATCGAAATTGTTAGCGCAATCAGACTCCATTAGAGACTGAAGTCGAGAATTTCCATTTATTGCTGAAGAGTCCTAATAAGGATGACTTTCTCCTTAGTGGGCAAAATCAAAGGCAGTGTTTGAAAATATTTTGAGTGTTGAAAATATTTTTTATCTGCTATTTTCTTCATAGATAAATTAATATAAATATTAGTTTATCTATGATTTTCTTTCGACTTTATTCAATAATCATTGGTTACTTATGAACCTAGAATATCTTGTATATCCTGGGATATAGACGGTCATTTGGATATCCATATTAGATCCACTGGATATCCACAAAATATATTCTGTGGATATCTCTGGGATTTCTTGTATTGTCTGGAATTAGATATTTTGCTGGATATCCATAGGATATCTTCTATATTATGGATATAGGCGGACATTTGGATGTGCATATTAGATCCACACGGGATATTTCAGATATCCTGATGTGGATGTATTGGATATCCACAAAAGATATTCTGTGGATATCTCTGGGATTTGGTGTGTTGTCTGGGCCTTCATAAGGCCATCTTCAAACAACATAATGCTGGGCCACTATCGAAAGGCCAAAAGTAGGCTTTTATCGTCGCATGCATTTTCCCTTCAATTACAGCAAAAGGCCAGCAATATCCCGGCAATTTATTGTTTGTTGGGAATGTATTCAAAAGTAACCTCAAACAATACTTGATAAATAAGCAGAACGGATATACTTTCTTGTGATAATACTCTTTAAACCTGCCATTTTTTTAAGCATTATTTATATCCTACCTCTCTTTTATATAATTAAAAAGTGCTTTGTATAAGAACATTATATTACCTGTCTTGCTGTATCTTTATTTATGGAAAGCCTGAATTGAGATACACTACAAATTATTTGTAATAAATATTAATAGAAGTATACATTTTTAAATAATTTGTCATTTAAAAGTCATTCACACATCTTGATACTTGACAGGCACAGCCAAGCATTATTCTGATTTTTGCCAAATAAAATGACCTGTTAATTATTCTATGGGGTTACGACAGAGAGCCAGTACATTTTATGTGTTTTTTTGACTCGGGGCGAAATAGTAGTACAGTACCACCATAAAAAAGTCATTTTTAAGAAACTGCTTATATATTTTTCATAAATTGTGGCAGGCTTGGCGACTAATTTCGAATAAAAATAGCTATGGTTGCAAGTATGAAGGTCGCAACCCGCCTTAAAAATTTCACCTTTACTATCAACAGCTGTTGTTTGACAGGTCGTTAGAGAATGTTTGCAATTTATGGAATGTTAGGAATGTTGACGTTAGAAATAATTGAAATTCCTAAAATTGTCACATAAGAAATGCATATGCGGATTTTAAGAAAAAATCCTAGAGGTTTTCTATCTTATTAAATGAAGCAACTTTTCGACCCACCGTAACAAGCATATTTGAGCATAGTATATAGGTAAATAATAAAAAAAATATTCAAGTAGATTTTATTTAGTTATTCAAATTCCATTATATGGTAACAAAATAAACGTAAAGACTAGTTTTCAATAGAAACAGGTATTTGTAAGCACATTTATGACATTGGATTGTAGATATAAAAGTAACAGATATGTAAAACCTTAAACAGAAGGACACTTTAAAGAAATCTATTAATTTTTTTTGCATATTTTGGATTTACATTTATATTTTTTTTATAATTTTTACGTTTGTAAATTTTTTTTTAATTTTCATGTTTGTAAATATTTTTTTTGTGATGCCAGCTGTGAACAAGATATACTCCTTTAAAAAATATACAAATTATTACAAACGATCACAAGATGCATTTAAATATCACTATCTCTTTAAAAACTATTAAAAATTTATTCATAAAAAATATATTTCATAATAAATCTTTTTTTATTAAAAACAACTTATATAAAGATCCCTCACAGCCAGATCACGTTTAGTATTTTTTTATAGTAATGTCTAGATATTAGATTGTCTAGAAATAGAAATGCTTAAAAATTTAAACGTAGTCGCACACAGATGTATAAAAGTGGGTGTCTACACATTTGAATTGGAATATTAAATTAAAAAAAACACTTATATAAACATTAGACGAGACACCGACGATCTTGAAGTTCACATAAACTACAAACAGATACAAACTAAAAACCATTTTTTTTATATCAAAAGGGGCATGGTAATGCTTACACCTGAACCTCGGTAGGTATTTTGGATATTTGGAAACATTTAGGTACGAATTCTCTTGTGAAAACTTAGCGGTTTCTCCTCGATTGGATCCAAAGAGAGCTGATAGTTGCGACAACGTTTTCCCAAGCTCAAAGTCCAAGACGAAAATCGCCACTTCAACGGTTGGCTGTGTTTACTACGCTCCTGGTTATCATACTGCTTCAGAATTTTCAACGCATTGTTCGAACAATTCACCAATTCTGCCAATTTAATCTGCAAATAAATTATTTCTATTAGTAACGAAATAATAACAATAATAATGAATGGGTTGGCTCAGTGGTTAGAGATAAAGCATTTACTGTTAGGCTCTAATTAACAGTGTTGTTCCTAAATTGGCGCTGAAAAACAGTAACAAAGTTTACCCAGAACGCGAGGCTAATAACTATAGCAGTTGATGCCGATAATAATAGTTTTTTCAAGGATTATACAAAATTGTATTTTTTTCACAACTCATTTGCATTAAAAGTTATTAACATAGAAAAATAAAACAGAAAAAGTTTGAATTATAGGTGAGAAATGTTTTCTTATTAATTCAACAAAAAATCATTCTAGATAATCAATGGCTTCATAAAAAACAGATTTATTACAACAAACATCCTCAGCACATAAATCCGTGGTCAACCTGGCAAAACAATCATCCTGTGTATATAGTTTATCTGGACTAGGACTAGAAAAGGCTTTTTAATATTAAAGGTAACTTGTTTTGGATTGAGAGCTTCCTAACAAATATATGTGTTAATAGCAGCAAATTGTCCTGTAAATAGTAGGGTCACAAGGAACACTTTAGAACCAGTGATCTAGTTACATCTAATAATTTTAATATCCTTTTATATGCAGATGACAAAAATATAATGCAACCCCTTCCAAAATGTCATAACTATAAGAAGTGATTTAAATAGTTGATAATTAGTTGTAGATATTAAGATAGACAATATATAATAATAATAATAATACTCTCCCTAATACCTTCAACTATTATGTAATTTTATTTTAAGAGAGCAATTTCTGATGAATCTGGCTTTGTTATTCTTTTTGTCAAAATCAACCCTTGTAATACTGAAAACAGTAAACAAGACTCCTTACCTTACAGCTGACTTGTATCTCCCGAATGACAGCAAGAACATGCAGCAGTTCACCAACTTGTAATACAGATTTGGAAGCAATAGCCTGTTGCATTTTTTTGTCGACCTCTAATTTTAGAAGAACCAATGATAAAGTTGAAGACCTGAAAAATGCACAGCTGCTATCTGACAGCAGCACTTCCAATCTTGTCAGCAGTTGCTCTTTTTGCATCATTTCTCTATAATGAATAAGTGTCTTATTACTAAATGTGACAAAATAGAAAATGTAAAGGTTATTAACTGGAAATCCACTGTAAAAGTACTATAATAATTTAAATTTAATTTTTTTACAGAACACAATACCCCACACCTAAGAATAGAAGAGTATTTGATTATACCTCAAAAAATAATGTGATCCTTCCACTTCTAGATAAATTTTGGTAAAACATTCTTAATACATTATAATTAATGAAGGACCATATAATCGTTGGCCAAAAAAATTAAGATATATGTTATAAAGTGTATAGGCTTTCTGCCAAATATATCAAACAGTAAAAAAATGATTGACAAAAAATAATGTTCTAATAGCTTCAAATAACAATAACTATTTTACCAATTGGGATACAAATATGAGGAGGAGGAGGAAAATAATAATATTTCATGTTCCAATATGGATATTATAGGACATCAGAAAGGAATATTTCCTTACCTGTAAGAAGACTTGGCATAACCAAGAATGTCTAAATAAATTTTGAGAATATCTGCACATGTAGTGATGTTGATGATCTTGTTTTCAACCTTCAGCTTTTCTTTGATGATATTAGACATCCTAAGTACATCTTTAATGGAGAACTTGTTTTGAGATACAGACAGGAGCTCCTTCACATCGATGTTAACATTTTCATTCAAAAGTGCTAGATGAAAGCAGCTTATGGTCACACAGGTGAGATACTTTTCCTGAACCTAAACAAAATAACTCATTTTTGATTAAGCATTTCATTAATAATGTTGATTTACTTCAAATTATAAACTAACATGACAAAAACTACAGAATAATTTTATTACTAATATCATCTGAAATGTTCCATTATAACAAATAAAAAATGGCAGTTCTTATTCTTCATTAATCAAATGTTTTAGACATTTTTTTCTGTTAGTTTTACTTAGTGTTTGTGCATGTAATATACATTTATTTGTTGTAAAATGGAGGTTTTCTGTAAATAGATAAAATTCAAATATCCAACATTTTGTGGACTTGGCAACACTGTTGAACAGCTGAGTATATAATCTGAATTATCACAATACATCTGAGCAGGTATGAACCCTAAAATGGTAGATATTTTCTTTTCTTTTTTATTTAAAAAATTATTTATGCTACTATTATGCATTTGCACAAGATGTGTTAGTTAGGTTTTTTGTTTATAATAGTGATACTTATAAATAAGTATGCCTAATTTTCTCCAAACCAAAAAGAAGTCAAACTAGATAATGACTTTTTATACAGTCATTAAAAGTACCTCTAACATCCAAGCGTTTCAATTTTTCCAACAAGCAGTGGTTAAAAAAAGCAAAAACATTAAAATTATATTACTAGGTATATTGCATTTAAATGTTATTTATTGACTTGTTTACATATATTATTTTGGAAACCTTAACAATTTGATATTTTCATTTATATGTTAATGTTATTGAATAAATAAATAAGATTTCTAAATGATGCTAATTGATTTCAACATTGTTCAATTCTTGACCCATTTGAAATAAAAATATGATGTAACCTTGGACCAAATTGCAACATATAAACAAGGGCAAGCTTATATTTATTCAGAAAAAAAAAGTCGGGCTCTTCACTTACCTTCATGCATGAAAGAAATAGGTCTAAGTAGGTGACGGAAGCAAAGAAAATTGTATGTGGGACATCAAACCATACTCTGAGAAAGCGAAGGTTTTGCACAGCAGCATCTCTGGAATTGAGGGTGACTTCCCATGGCTTAATGTCTTGTTGAATAACTAATAGATTTGGTCTGTAGAGTGACTCTACTGCTAGAGCCTCTTCAAGGTTGAATGCAAGTGGCTTTATGTTGATGTTGATAGCATCCGGTACAGGCCGACCCCTTCTTTTGCTTGCTTGGTCCATAGCTCTGGTTGTGCCTTTTTAGTTAATAAACACACCTTACCATCCCACCGTTTCTTTGGATAAAAAACAGTTGCAGCAAAAGTAGGAGCTGGCCTAAAAACTAAAAAATAAAACACAATTAGTAAGAAAAAACTGGTCCCCACAAAAACTTGAAATTGTTTTTTACTTACCCGGATGCCTCGAATTTCCTAGCTATTTTAGTTTAATTATTCAAAAAAAAGTAATTCAAACTAAAAAAGTAAATGATATTCTGTCGAAGCTCAAAGGGACATTGACATTAGACAATAGACACTAGACACAAAGAATTTAGACATTGACATTAGACATGACATCTTGACCATAGATAAAATCACGAGGTATAGATATATGGAGGCCGAACGTTAATTTTTGCCGGTAGGGCGCGCCACTTTTGAAGATGTACTCGTTTAATTAATTATTATTTAAAAATTAAACAAATTTAGTAATCAAGTATTTATTGGAAACAAATTTTAAATATTACTTAAGAGGTTACTCACTTTCGGTTCTTTGAATAAAGCCACTTTTCCTAAATTCTCATTTCCCTTTCGGTACGTCCTGAATATTTGCGCAGCCAGTGGCAGAAAAAGGAACTAAGATCTGGGTTTAATATTTGTGTACATGAATCCTACAATCCTTATGTCTATACTTCGTGGAATTTTCACTGTCACAGGCAGTTCGCACTGAGTATATTTGTATCCTTGTTTATCAATATGTAAAGGAAGAAAATGATCATACACTCGGTGCGAACGCGAACTACCTGTGCCAGAGAGAGAGGTCGGTATTCGAAACGAACGAAGCGAAAGCTTGACGTTTTGCCAATGATATATAGTTACATAAGGACCGATTCACCGTTGTTTTAAATGAAGTTTAAAATGACATTTTTACATTAGGACCGATTCCACCGAAGTTTAACACAACGGTGGAATCGGTCCTTGCTAGCAAAACTTGCTAACGGCCATATGCACCATTGTCCAGCTAAGTCCTCTGTTATCTAACAGTAGTATAAAAAATAACAGTGTGTTAACAGAATTTGCTATGCACCATCTATGTACCATCTATTTACCAGTTTCAGTAAGAAATCAGTCTGTTACGTATATATTACTGTTCATATCCTATAAAACCTTATATGGCCCTTCAAAATAAACAAGTAAAATTAAAATAGTCTGATAAATAAAATTAACAGGCCAAATTTGGTTTGTTACATTAACAACGCCTTTAACAGATTTTTAGTCGTATTTTGTAATGGTGAATACAAAATTGTCAATTTAACAGTCAGTTATGTAGTTAACTCTCTGATAACTATTAACAGAAGAATGGTGCATATGGCCGTAAGTATATTTTTTGGACTTTAAAGTTTTCTATTATTTCGCATTCCTTTAATACCAACACATGGGTATCTATCCTTGAATCGCAGGGAGTAGACATTTTAAAGTAAGAATGAGACAAAAATACAATTTTTGTGCGTAACAGATAAAGAAGAAAAACCGGTTTTCTATTCCCTTGAATTCAAGAATAGCTACCATGGTCTCCTGCAAAGTCTAGCGCGATTCTAAGCGCTGCTCTTTAATAATCTGACTATTTTCGTATTTCGTTTAAAAGTTATTGGTTTCTCCTGTAAAATGACTCCGACTAAAGAGGTTTTGAAACATAGTTAGCTAACGATAAATGATTTCTATAAATGAAGACATAGGTACCTGCCGATTAAAACCCTTCACGTATTGTTTTATAAAAAAACTGTAAATGTGACTTATTTGTCAAACTTTGTGTCACCAACGATATAAGAGATAGCAATATTAGGCATTCCAACGACCTGTCCAAATGGCTACCAGTGGGAACTGACAGTTTAGATAAGGCAACCCTGTTGTCATTAACAGGGTCAATGATACATATATAGTTATATAGATTGCTCAAAGCTGGTCGGTTGCGAGCGGCCATATTGCCTGGAAAATATTTATTAATTTGAATCGGTTTAGCAAAAATGTGCTTTAAAACTAATTTTCAGCCTTTAGATATTTAAAAAAAAAATAATTGCTTACATTTTTACTTCAAGGCATAAGCTTATATTTACTTTGAAAAATATGGATGATCAATCTATGTAACTATCTATTTCATTGACCTTATCAAATCACCAGGTACAGGGTTGCCATAATTTTGCCATATCATAACCTGTCAAAACCCACTGGTAGCCATTCAGTTTGGAATGCCTAATATTTCAATTAAAAATGTGTCCACCTTGTATGTTATTGCAATGTAAAGGACAATTTAAAACGAAATAAAATTAAACTTATCGCAAATCTTCTTAATTTTCCGACCTTTTCACAGTAGTCACTGTCAAAATCCCAGCATCGGTCAAAATCGCAGTAAACCGCGTCGGAATTCAAATTGGCGCTCGTTTGTTTTCTTCTAGTTTGTTCGCATGACGCTTAAAAAATCAGTTCGCAAATATTTGAAATACGTAAATTGGTGTGTGTCTTGATCAGATGAAATATATAAGAAAAACGCTTATTACAAGCCAGTTCTACCCTATTATACAATGAACATTTGGATATTTTCAACTTATGTAAGTGTAATTTAATTAGTTATTTAAGATATAGCTTTTTGGAGAATTTGAAGGGGAGAATGCAAGAACTGAACGTCCATTTTGTATACTTTTTCAGAGTAGGAAAAACTTTCCTTTGCTTTGTTCACAACATTAATCAAATCAAGTTTTGATTTTATTTATTATCGACATAAGTAGCATAAACTATATTGGGTATGTATTAATATATTAATGTCTACTTTAAACACAGTTTTGGTGTTAACATGGGTACTTGTCTGATTATCGTGAAACAACGCCGCTATTTATTTGAGTTTTGAGCCACGATAAATAAAATCGAAGGACTAATACGGACAATGAAAGCATTTACTACAAACTATATACAGAATATTTTGGTTAAAAACAGTTTAAACTTGAATAAGAAAACATAACATTTTTAAATCAATCTATCGATATAAATCTAAGAACGAAGCACGAATTGGCTAACGAAGTGTCTCGAGAATCTCCGATTCGGGGCTAAAACACAAGTGATGGCGCGAACGTTTGAAAAAGCACAGGCCCGTCTTTTAGGAAATTTGAAACCGAACAATGTTTTTTTTTTCTATATTACTTTATTGTATCTAATGTTACTAATAGAGAAAGAAGTCTGGTTTTTGGATAAAATATATCAAAGAACAAGGTTCATATCAAAAATTAGGCACTTTTGGTAAAAATATGGACATTTCCACTTCTTGCATTGAACCCTTGGATTTACATTAAATTAAAATAAAGAAAGTTTCTTGGGTCGGATAAAATGATTTAAATAAAACTAATATACATTTTTTTGATATTTTTTTTTATTTTGATTACTTAAAATAACATAATCTACAGGGTATCCTAAAAAATTGTATACAAATGGAAAAAAGTTTATCTTGCATTTTACAAAAAAATATTTTTGATAAAAAATACTGCATCACTTGAAAATCTATAATCAAGCACCAAATTTTGTAAAATATGGTATACAGGGAAAATAAAAAATAATGATTTATAATGAATAGTAAAAAAATACTTTAAAATTTCTATACAGGGTGTACCAATAAAAACTCCCAGGTCAGATATTTTGGTAAGTAATAGAGATATTTTAATTCTGTAAAAGCCAACAAAATGTTGAAATTGTTGCCAAACAATAGAAAATAATTACGTTGTGAGTTGTTCATCAAAAAATATTATAAGTCCACATACAGGGTCATACTTTATTCAGGTACAAAGAAGTTGATTATACGGTAGGTCTAAGTAGGATGTGGAAAAATTATGATTGGATTAAATACATTAAAAAAGTTAATTAATCTAAATCACAGGCATCGTTATTGTATAAAGGTTTCCAAGAATATAATGAACTGCCCAGTGGCTTGAAGGATTATAATTCATTAGCAAGTTTAAAAAAAAAATTGACAACTTTTATTAAAACTGATAAAATTTGATTTTAACTTTTATATATTTGATTATTACTTTTTTTACTTTTTTATTTTTTTTTTTTAATATTTGGGTTCATACTTTCAACTGTTATTTGTTTTATTGTTAATTAAGGCTGTCTAAACTCAATATTAAAAGTAGCTTTGTAATGTGTAACAAATTTATTTTTCTTAACTCAGATTATGTTAATGTTAATAATAATTATCTTTTAGTTTTGAGTGTACTGTTTTGTATTTCTATAATATTTTTTTTGTAAATTAGGTTTATCCTATTTCAATAAATATCTATCATAGATCTATCATAGACAGACTAATTAGAATATTATTTGTAAATTATTTTTAGGTTCGTTCATTGAATATTCTCCCTTTCAGACATTTTCAAAATTTCCCATTACTAATTGTTGTTTTTCTTTTCAGGAAATCGCCGTAAAAAAAAATTAAATCGCCGAAAATTTTTCGAGTTAATCGGTAACACGATGTCAATGGTCTGAGCTCACGTTCATTTCACCTCTGACAATAAAGACGTTTCATCTTGGAATGTATGTCCTTTGATGTTTAATGTTGATCTTTGATTCACTTAATACTGTCTTGGGGTGTACTTTCCAGGATCAAATGGACAAGGCTGCAGATATACTGCTCAGAGATACATTTACGTATCAAAGAGTTGATATAGAATTGAATGTGATACGATGATCATTAATGTCGTCGGGAGTAGAAGATTTTCCGGACGCGTTTAATCGGGAAAATCTATTGGAAATAATGGATATTATGGAGAAGCGGAAATAAATACTTGGAATGTTAAATGGGATAGAGAGTGAAGATGGAATGAGGGGTTTCAAATGGTAAGGGTTCTTATTTAAATTTAATGCTTTCTGCAAATTAAAGTGTTACAGCTAAATACCGCCTTTTATAAAAAAACGTTTCAGACGAAAGTTTTATAGTTTTGTGGGGAAATTTTTTTGGCTAAAATCGTTTTTTATAGTTAACCATAATATGGTCAACTTTTTTTTCGCCCAGCAAAATTTTCAAGTAGCTGTTACTCAAAAAGTAAGTCAAATAAAAAATATTTCCATCAAAAGTTTCTTATTTTTTTATGTACTTTAAGAATATGTAAAAAAATGGGATTCCCATTTAAAAAACAAAGTCCACCTCGATATGGCCATATGTTTCCCCCAAAAAACTATAACACTTTTGTCTGAAACTTATTTTCTAAAATGCATAGTTTCGGCGTTATTTAACTGTAACACTTTAATTTGAACGCCCGGTATATATATTTAAAATAAATTTAATTAGAAACAAAATATAAACATTTTGAAAAAAAAAAGAACGAAGTTCATTTTTGATTTTGTTCTGGACACAATCAAAATTACTTTTCACTTAATCCTTAATTTTTTCCGAATTTATGATTAATTTTAATATTTACTGAAATTTCTTATGTTGTTTTAGGAAAAATGATCGGCTTCAAATGGTGAGTTTTTTGATTTAAATTTAACTTTTTCTGTAAGAAATAATTTTTTTTTTAATTTCTATTTCTATTATTTTTTTTTTATTTATTTTAACACTAAGAATTATTATAAATCGTTAAATATATAGGGTGTTAAACTGCAAACGGGACGGTCACACATTTTAATTTTTTGCATAACAGCATTATACAGGGTTATTGAAAAAATAAACAAATTAAACAGTATAATAATTTTAAAAATTAAAAAAGTTTAAAAATGTAGAAAAAAAAACAGAACAAAAAGTGCAGTTAGTTCTGAGGGCGACGCAACTGGTCCATTTCGACCGATGCATTTATTCGGGAAAGTAATGTTTAAAATGTCAGCATTTTCTATGGCAGTCCCCGGACTAGGATTTTTTTCAATTACTTAACTTTCTTTATTTCTTGCGTTGATGGCCAACGAAGTCACCACACTTAAATCTTTGTTATTTTTTCCTTCTTTTTTCTTATTTCTGATTTTTTTTTGGAAGAAATTATGTGACAAAGTTGTTTATTTTAATTATATCTATATAATGACTTTTACGAAAAAGGAAGTATTTTGGAATTACCTTGTACAGGTCAATACTGCTGACATTCTAAAAATATTGTATATTATTCAGCGTATTTAAAAAATCTTTAGTGCTTCAAATTTTAATTTTTTCTATAGCTAAACATCGTGTATTTTATTGGATTAAAATTATGTAAGAAATACTTTCATATAGGTCGGCCATAGTTTTTTTTAATGTGATTTTCTGCAAATATAAGTTTTTGAAAAATCGTATGGATAAATTAATTTCGAAAACAATATTTCTTAGCCACTGTACCAAAATTTTGTTTATAAAAGGTCTGTTATATTGTTAAATAATCTTTCCAAATACCACGTATAATGAGAATTTTTTATTATTTATTATTCATTTCAGAAGAACCGCTCTAATTAGATATTCATAATACCATTAAAATATTTACCTGCTTAGGTGTGACGTGATTTGTGAACATGTGATAAAAAATTATAATAGATTTTACAGTCATTAAAAGGCCAAAAAAAGTCTAGTAGTAAAAAACAGTAAAAAACGAAACATATTTTTAAAAATGTATTTATTAAAATATTTATTTTTGTATAACAGCGTTAATTATTTCTGCCAGTTTGTCAGTTTCAGTTATTGAAACGTGATCTCCTTCAATTTCTATTGATTCAATTGATACTCCAGAAGTCTCTTCCAATTTGAGGTCCTTTGGAAAGTTTTTCACTGAATCTAAGGAGGCTTTGCAAAGTATTATCTTAGATTTGAGCGAATATCTGGGTGAGAAATTTTTGCAAGCTTTTAATCGGCACAGTAGTCCCCCTAATATCTTTTTGATTTGTTCGTTACTTAATATTTGTGTCTGGCTCGTCACTATTTCAGTAGCTTTTACCAGTTTATGTTCTAATGTCGGCAGTTGTGACAATGCTTCCTAAAAAATACACAGTTTCGGAATAGTTACTTACGAACCAAGTGCGGGAAGACTATGTTTGTATAGCAGGGACAGAAGTTGGATAGGCTTTTGGTAGTTAGAGAGGTGGTAAACGTCAAACCCCGTCGGATGACTACGAGAATTTCGCGGTAATGTTTGTTCGCCATTGTCGTAACATATAATAAAAATAATACCAAATATTTTAAATTATTAACGGTGGAATTGGGCAAACGTATAATATAATGACAGTTTGTCAGAATTGTCAATTAATTAAAATTTTTATACATTTTTCATAAATTGACAGGCTTTGCGACTACTATTTCGAGTAAAAATAGCGTCCAAGATGGAAGGCTATGTCGCAATGCCCTTGGATATAAGAGCCTTGCTCACTAGCAGGTCGTAAGTAAATTCTTCTTTTAAAGTAATTTATGCGCTATGTTATCTATTTCACAAAACTATGACGTCATTAATATTTTCTTAAATGCAACAAATTATATTTTAGATTAAAAAAAGTAAGTTTTGTCGAACAGTTAAAAAAATTGTACCAAATGACTTTACAGCTCCGTGAAATAAAACAAAAAAATCTAAAAATACGATGTAGTCACAAATACATACAAAGTGCAAAGTGATTTGACAATGTTGCCATTATTTTAATTACAGGTACTCTTGAATAGGTACAGAATTCGTCTTCCGTTTGGCTTTAAATACTCCAAACTATGTTCTGAATAGATTGTTTGAAATCGCCATGGAAGCAAGTCGACTGGCTTGTTTTTCGATCTGTCAACGAATGCGGGAACTAAAATCATCGGTAAAGAAGGTAGACAATGGTATTATCGCGTATAGGTATAATTTGAAATTTCGGCTTTTATTTTATTTCTTAATTTTCGATTTGAGAATTCGTTTCAACGAAATTGTAATTGGTTTGCTTGTCTTCGTAAAAAATAATATTTTATTTTTTTATAATTGTTTAAATTTTATTTTGATTGTTTTTAAAGTTGCATTATTGATATTAGCGTCAGCAACTACTCTGATTTATTTAAAAAATGTCTACCAAATCTTAGGTCTATCTATTATAGTTTTCAAATTCATTTGGAACTAAAATTAAAAGCAATTAAACCTAAAACCTTAATGTGAGAAAATGTCGGACAGATTTTTAAGGTCTAGGTAATCAGGAAAAGGAGGTGTTAAATTAATTGCATCAGACGAAATCTTATAACTATTTCAAGATGCAAATATCATAGATGTCTACTTACTTTTATTTCCTTGCCCTTCTTACTGAATTCTGAAATACATATAATTAGACATTCTGTCTCAAACTCCTGTTCGTCTTGGGGAAAAGATCTAGCAAACATGGCTTGGAAAAGTTCTGGAGAGCCGTCACAACATATTAAAGTGATTTTGTAACCTTTTTGTTCTAATCGGTTAGTAGCCTCCAAAGCTACACAAGTTCCATACGAATGTGCCACAATATATACAGGATCTTTTTTGTCGATGTTGCGTTCGATAAACTAAAAATATATAAAAGATGTACAGGTTGCAACATAATAAAAGATACCACACTCAACTATATTATGCACTAAATAGATTGCTTCGACTTATATCTATGAATATCTGCGTTGTATTATCAGCAAAACTATTTTGGAAAAAAGAATCATCTATGAAAGAAGAAGCATTGGAAAAATACGTTATCAATAAATTTTTATACTTACGTTAATCTCAGTTGCAGCCATTTCTTCAATGGTTTTCGGTGTATTGAGAAAGTCGTAGTGACTGGCTACTACATGGGCATTTAATTTCCTTGCCAAAGGTTTTAAAATGTTTGAATATCCCTCGATGCCAGGGATCATGAGTATCACAGGTGCATCCGCGTTTTTACTAACGTTACTTTCTAGTTGTACTATCAGTTCATCATCATTAGATGTGGTTATAATTAGTTTCAACCCTCTGGTGAAAAAGTCTGTTTCATTGTCATCTGACACTACATCTCCTTGTTCATTTGATATATTAACTTCTAGCTCTTTTATCCTAAAATAATAAATCATATTTAAGACAGGTTATGACATTTTGTTGATATTTTGTCAATACTTCGAAAAAGTGAGCATTCTTATATCCTTTGCAGACAAGAATATTCCATATTCCCTTTCAAATAATTGTTTAATTTCAATAGATGTCATAGAGTCCATTCCAAGTTCCGCTAATGTTTGTGTATCTTGTACTGTCTTCAAGTCGAGACCTTACAAAAGAAGTAATTATTATCTGTATTATCTGTAATATGAAATTATTACCTAAAATGTTTGCAATAGCGCCAGTTACGTTTTCAGATCCACCTAGGTTCTTTTTTTCTGCAACAACCATACTAGAAACAACTGCTGAAGATTTTTGTCCAAGAAGGGTGTCCAGTACTTCTATACAATTGGATAACCTTTGCTGTAACGTACCACCAACTTCTAGCTCTCGGTGGTCTTCTTGCGTATCTGCGAGTAGGCCAACCTAAAGAAGGTATAGATTAGAATAATATTTTTAACAAAGAGGTTTAACACACGTCTCCAATTGCGCCCCATTGGATGGCCAAACCTGGTAAATTGTCTTTTCTTCTCCTTTCACATATCCTCTCCATAACTGAATTAGCCATCCCATAGTTGGTCTGCCCTGAGTTGCCTCTGCCACATGATACCGAAGAAAATATCACAAAGTATCTGAAAGAATTTATATTTTTTCATCACTAATCTCAGTTACTTTCATATTTTTCGATTTCCTGAGGACCGAGTCAATAAAATGATAACATTAATAAAATCGTAACACTATAAAATCAAGAATTTGATCTTAAAATGATTTTTAAGACATCGGGGTGTATTTTAATAACATATCTCAATTTAGAAAAGAGAGTCACTTATCTATCCCCTTCTTGCACTGTCAAAGTTGGAATTACGTAGACATATCCAAGCTATAATAATAAATGGTAAAATCTATGTACTTAGATTAATGCCGCGTTTGAGAATCCACATCGGATGCGTTTTTTACATCTCGAGCGTTTTTTTATCCTCATCGGACACATCTGTCCCATTACATTTACGTATACTGAATCACGTGATCAAAGATTTACTACATCTCGGATGCATCCGATGTGGATTCTCAAACGCGGTATTAATATTAATGTCTTTAAGTTTAGCACAAGACTGCCTATTATATTTTATCTACAATAAAAACAAGGAGTCTCCTATTTATAGAATGTGTTAAATTATGAATGATGTAAGGGACAACGTTGATATATTTGAATAGTTTATCAATGGTGCTAACAACTTTCTTGTTTGCACAAGCTTGTTTATAATTATTTTATATATTTTCTATGCATATGTATTCAGATTCGAGACTAAAATATTTACAGTATTACGAATCTATAAGAGCAGAAGAGAACGAATCATAATTAAGCTAGAATTTCAGAACGTATTATAACTATTTTTATGTTGAGCAGCGGTCTCTCTCTCTCTTTGGTCTTTTTTATTCTTTAGGTTTCGGCATATACTGTACATATTTTCTTTCAGAATCTGTATAAGTGTTAATTTTACTCTGTTAAATGTTATAATCATTTTGTCTTCCTTAGTGGGTAATATGTTCAATATGCTGAACCTACGTATATTAATAAAGAAAATATCACGAACACTTACTCTAGTTCTGGACAGGATTTTCTGCTAATTTCGTCGAGATACTTAGTAGCATAAGCTTTAGGAGCCAGAGATATTTTGTACGTATCAACAGTTTGATTTTCCAAGATGGCATCCTTCAGAACAACAGCTAAATTGAAAATTCCCCCCACAGGAGCTATATCATTGGTTTCATCGATCAGTTGTTGGCACCCTTCTTTCGTTGTGACGTTGGCCGTGGATATTTTGACAGTTAAACCATAGTCATTTGTATATCGTTCAATCCTGCTCTTTTGATAACCGGTCTTTACACCACTCCTGGAAACTAATACTAGGTTTCTTACTCCTCTAAGGACGAACCAGTCGGCTAATTCCAACCCAAATCCTCCAAGACCTCCCAGGATAACATAAGATTTATTAGGATTACAGAAAAACCTACAACGAATGATTATACATAGAATTTATAATGATAATGTACTCGTATAATCGACGCAATACATCAAAATACTGAAATTAGGTTGCAAACCTTGGCAGAGTCTGAAATTGTGTGGGTGGTGCATTTTCGGGTCGAACTTCAACGACAACTTTTCCGATGTGTTTTCCACTAGCCATGAATCTATAAGCTTGTTCTAGTTCATTATGGGAAAAAGCAGTTACATCTAATGGTTTAATTAAATCTTCCTTGAGGGCTCTTTGCATGAGGTCCATTAATTGTTTGTGATCTCGTGGATGTGCACCCAGTAACCCGTCTAATTGTATTCCATGAAATGAGGCTTCTTTTTCCATAAGCATAAGATTTAACTGGGAGTTATTTGCTAAATCGTATTTTCCTATTTCTAGAAATCTTCCTCCTCTTGCTAAGCATCTTATTGAGGCTATTAATTTCTCATCTGATAAGGAATTAAGGACTAGGTCGACACCTTTTCCGTCGGTTTCTCGCATTATCATTTTTTCGAAAGATGTATCTCTCGAATTTCCTATATGGCTTTCTAAAACAAAATGATTTTAAATGATTATTTAAAAAAATCGTTTACGAATTAATTACCTTTTAATTTTGGGTATCTCTTCAATAGAAATTCTTTTTTGGACGCAGAACCACATGTAGTAAATATATTACAATCATACTGTGAGCATACAAATATAGCTGCTTGGCCAATTCCCCCAGTTCCTGAGTGAATTAAAACTGAATCACCTCTTTTCATATTGCCTCTCTAAAAAAATAGATATGATAATAACGATAATAATGAGGCAGTCTGCGTTCCCATTAACAAAATTATGTCCGATATTTTTTACATTTTGTCAACAGATTACACAGGGAAACAGCTGTTTTGGTGTCGAGGTTTTTTAAGCTGATTCTATATCAATTTGATGTCCTGAACTCAAATAACGTATTCACTTTTACCTAGGAGCTCAAATTTTTAAGAAATACAATTTTAGAGAAATATAAGTTACATTATTTTAACTCAAATCCGTAAGTAAGAAATCAAATAGTCACTCAACACTTCGAAAGCTTCTTTTCCGCGACATTCTTGAATGTTTTTTTAAACAGTCCCTCTTTAAACTCCAGCAGTAATCTACCATCATGTGCATGTCCCATCTTCCTTGGTAGCGGCACTCCATAACTTTAATATCTTGGTGAAATCTTTCTCCTTGTTCCTGACTCATGTCTCCTAAATTTTCTGGAAAACGATCTAAGTGGTTGTGTAAATAGTGTATTTTAATACTCATATTGCACCCTAAGGATTTGAAACTATTAAGCAAGCATCTTGTTAACCATTTCAACATAGTTTTGAGCTTTATGTTTGCCTAGAAAATTTTCTACAACTGCAACAAATGATGTCCAAGCTTCTCGTTCAACTTGATTCATTGAATTTATGAAGGCAGGATCCTTAATAACTGATGCATTTTTACCCTTATATATGCAAAACATGACCCATTCTTATCAAGAGCCTTTACAAATTGTTTCATTAAGCCCAACTTTATATGTAACGGAGGAAGTATGATTTTTTCTCTTTCAACCAAAGCGTCGTTAATTACATTATTTTCCCCAACGTCCATGTTTTTTCTTTGAGGCCAATCTTTTCTAACCCAGTGGTGTGTTTTGTCCCTACTATTCCAGAAGCACAAGAAACACGGATTAGATTAGATTAGATTAGATTAGGAGTTGGACGTTATTTGTCCTTGTCCACCGCGACCTTTTCAGATCTATTGTGGGACTCCGTTTGTTTTAGAGTATGTCGTCTAGCCTGGTCTTTTTTATTAGACTTAGTAGCTTTGACAGTGGCTCCCGCATGTAGTTGCATGCAATTGGCTTTTCTTCGCCCAATGTTAGAAACCTCATTCCAGCCAAGCCTTCACATTGGCACAGGACGTGGAATGATGTTTCCTCTTCTTCTTCACAGAACCTGCACAAAGTTGCTTCTTCTGCTGGATTTATGACACTCATGTGCCTTTTGAGGCGACAGTGTCCAGTAAGAAGGCCTACTGTTATCCTAACGATTTGACGTTTTTGATCCAGTAGGTCTTTCGTAAACTTGGCCGATGGTTCCTTGATGAACTGTTTGGCCTGTCTCAGTCTTGGATAGTTGTTCCACCATTCCTGAGACTCTTTTTGCATCCATTGTTTAATGGATGCCTTGCACAGTGCCTTAGCGACTCCACAAAAGGGTTCAGGGCCTGTCATGGCCTTATCTGAGCCTTCTCGGGCTAATTCGTCGGCCTTTTCGTTGCCCTGATATCCCTCATGGCCTGGAACCCAGGCTAAGGTCACCTTATTTTGACTACTTAGCTCTGTCAGGTCTTCTAGACAGTCTTTCACCAGTCGTGATTTGATTTCTGGTGAGAGAATTGCCTTTAGAGCTGCTTGGCTATCAGAGTATATGGCAATAGTTTTGCCTGATACTTGCTGATTTAATATTTCTCTTGCACAGTGTTGTATGGCTATTAGCTCAGCCTGGAACACTGTTGCATATTTTCCTAAGCTTAGTGAAATCGTTGATTTCGACTTAGGTCCATAGATTCCAGCACCGGCTCCTTCCTTGGTTTTTGAACCGTCTGTGTACCAGACGAGTTCAGCCTGTACGGGAGGTCCCTGTTTCCAGGATTCTCGGGCTGGTATTTGAATTTGAAAATTTCTTTCAAATTTGTATGTGGTTATGGCTCTATCAGTAGGCATAGCTAGAATATTATCCCTTTGTACTTGCTGATATAGCCTTGTGTGGTCGGCGCTATGTAGTTGGCTTATTGGGTTTTGTCCCTGCATTAGCCTGTGAATAGCTGACCTGGTTTCTCCTTGTATGAAGATGTGCAATGGCGTGAGATTTAGTAATACCTCCATTGCTGCGGTCGGCGTAGTGCGCATGGCCCCAGTAGCACTTAGACAGGCAAGCCGCTGAATGCTAGTGAGTTGGCCTATTGCACTTGCCTGCGCAGTTTTGGTTACCCACGCCACTGCGCCATAGGTTATCATGGGTCTTATTACCCTTGTGTATAACCATATGGTCATTTTGGGGTTTAGACCCCAGTTTTAAGAAACACGGATATTTCGTGTTACCACTTCTGCCCAAGAAGAAAGTTTACCATTTTTAAGTCTACACAAATCATCCATTGATGTTCGTGATACTTTATCTTCTGCAAGACCAAAGCTACGGTATTATATCCTTCTTTCAGTTTCGTTGAGTGAGCTAGTGGTATTGAACCATATTTATTCTCATTATGTAGGACACATTTTAAACTTCGCTTTGAACTGTCAATAAATAGGCGCTAATCATCTGGAATATATTCAGAAAGTCCCATTTCTTTCATGAGTCCATTAATTTCGTGACAAAATATAAGATTGTCTTCTTGAGAAAAGAATGGTACGGTAATTTTGGTTCCTTGTTCCAATAAATTTTTGTCGTTCAACCTAGAAGCCAGTACTTCAGAAGCTTTTTTCGATAAATTGAGATCCCTGGTGAGATCATTTAATTCATTTTGATTGAAGCGTTGAGGAACTGATGACGTCTCCTCATAGTCACTGTTAGTTTCATTAGCATCAGAACCTTTATTAGCATCAGAGGGAAAATATTCGTCATCAGAGATATCTGGTAGCTGATGAAATGTTGGAATCGGTATTTCATCTGAGTGCGGGATAGAGCGTATTGCCGAGTCTACATTGGGATAAGTCCACTTACTGCGGTTATTTCGATTGATTCGTTTAGTATTTACTGAACAGAAATAACAATCATTGAAGTGGTTTTTTGGTTCTCTCCAAACCATTGGTACGCCGAATTTTAGATATTTTCTTTTCCCGGTAGTCCACTGCCGTAAATGCTCCAAAATATCCAAGATACGCTCGCTTTACAAAGTCAGTAATAGTTTGTCTGTTTTGTTGAAACATGTATTCTCCGCATATATAGCAAAACACATCAGGTTAATTTACACAACTTCTTCTTGAACTGGAACCAGAACTCATTTTAATTCTGTTCAATAACACAAAAACACTCTTTTCTTAACATAAAATAACACGCCGAATTCGATCTACTCTCATTAGTAAGAACGCATAAACTGACGAGACTTACCCGAGTTAGGGGATTAAAAGGGTCAGTTCAGGTACCTGATAGGCAATGGTTCCACTATTTATAGATTTACCTGGAATTTACTCAATTACAGACTGATAATAAAACCATTGTACCTACATTAATGAATATATAATAATTTTAGAACTCTCATAAATGAATATACTGAATAAAAACCACATTGGTAGATAAGTTGATGAATCTAAAAAAGTAGAGCTGATAGAGTAAAACGGATTGCATGTACAGATTTAGCGTCCCAAATATAGTTAAAATCAGCTCTAAAATCCCACGCACAAAAAAAAATTTTGTTGCCCTGTGTTATGATTCCTTATACAGTAAAGTACACTTACGTCAAAAAAGGCAGATAATACTGTAAAGTAAACGCAAGTAACACTGGATGCTTCTTTTAAAGACCATGAGTCAGGTATCCTAAAGGCGAGGTTTTTATCAGCAAGGATCATATTAGAGAAGGAGCCAACGTTAAAGCCTGCCATTCGGTGACCGCTGAAAAGATAAATAGTATTTTTTTCTAATCTAGATTAAATATTTTTCTTACTTTTGATCAATCCCAGAATATTCAAATCCTTCAATTTGATCTTGAAGTAGTCTATTTGATGTATGTGCTACATCAACAGTAATTTTGCCAGTTGCACTCATTACATCTTTAAAGTTTATTGGAGAATAATATATCTAAAAAAAGAAATCACAATTTGATATTGAGTTACGTCAAAACACCATTTTGGATAAGATCTCTAGTTCGTTAAAAATACAAACACAAACGCCTTAGACACCTACGCCATACTATCGGAGAAAAATTAATATTGCCAGCCGCTGAAAAAGTTTTGAAAACTGTATTACACAAACCTGCATCTGATATCATTAAAAGAATTCCGCAACAACACAGTTCAGAGGCGTATTACTGGAATTAAAAAATAATTTTTTCTATAATCATTTAAAAATCAACAACGTTCGTCACGTCTTACTCCAACCGAAAACGCCAGTTCCGACACCAGTGATAGAATATCCCATAACGTTAATTTTCGTCTCTAGTGACGAAAGTAAGTGGTTGCAATTTCAGATATAAAATTATTGCTGCAGTCTTAGAATTCATTTTTAGGATTTTATAAAGGAAAAGTTCGATTATAATATAAAGGTAGATGTCAAAACAAACATGGTAAAACGGGGTTTACCCCTAAATCTATATTCTATATAGTAAGCCATAGTTATAGAAAAAGTATAGTGTTTCATTCGTCGAAAAGCATTTTCGTCACTCGTTAAACAATATAATATTGCAAACGACCTATTTCTCTATTCAGCTGAATGAGTCAACCTTGCCTGGTAACGAAACATTATTTGCATATTTTCGTTTTATTATACATATATCAAAGAATACACGAAGAGCTGCTTTTCGCGAGAGCTTTAACAACTGATACTAAAGGTGAATCAATATTTAATTTAATTTAAATATCTTTATCAAATATAATATCAGTATCAACGGATGCCATGGTTGGGCGATACTGTGAATTTGTAAGCCACTTAAAACAAAATGTACTCGGGGTGTTAGTAATAGGTACACTGCGTTATCCATCGACAACATTTAGTTGATTAGTAGATGGCATAAATTTGTTTAATTTGTCATTAACGCTCATTTGTGTGAAGAAAATGACGAGAACTTTCATCAATTGCTGCTTTATACTGAAGCACGCTGACTTTAGAGAGGTTTATATGCATTTGACAAGTCCATAGATCACCTAATTAAAACAAAAATCAAGAGATTTACGACGAAGGCTAAATCTCTACATATAGAATGAAAAAGCAAACTTAAAATAATGTTAAATGAAAAAAGAATATTACTAACGTCAACTAATATCTTGTCTGGTTCAGGAATAATATTGTGGTTAAGAGTTCCTTGCACCCATCGGAAACTAGATATATCCCCTCTTACTAGTTCTTTAGCTATAGAATGTTCGCACGTAATTCCTTCGTTTTGGTTTAATAGTAAATGCCTGAATGTTCCCCATTGTCCATTTTTGTAGACATTAACAGTCATATTTTTTTTTATCTGATCACCAAATATTTGTGAATTAGGCTCAAACTTCTCATCCTCATCCAGAATTAAGACGCAACGAATACGCTGGTATCCTGGCTCTCTCATTAAACAATTTGTAAATCCTAATAACCCACTTATTGGATTACTTTGGGAATAAACAACCACCTCGTCTGACCCCTTCATTGCAGCTTGAACTTTGGGTAACCATGAAAATTCTGGATCATCAGAAACTTCAATGTACGTTAGTGGTCTTTTATTTTCACATTTTTTTAAAAGAACGAACACTTCTTTACCAGTATTATGCGTTGTTATCACTGTTATTTCATTTTGGGTTATAGTTTTTGGATTAAAGTCCAAAGGTTCTCTAGAAATAATAAATCCATTGTCTTTGAGTGCATTTGTTGCATCTACCAGCATCTAAAAATAAATGAAACTATTTACCTAATAAAATAATGATAAAGGTCTTTATTTTTTCTATATAATAATAAAAATACTCGTACAGTAATTTAACACTTTCAAAGCTTTTGGAGAGAGTTGTAGAGGAACAACTTCGAAATCACATTGATAAATATAAAATTCTACCACCCACACAATCGGGATTTAGTTCGGGATATAGCTGTGGTACGGCCCTATTAAATAAAACGGATGACTTTTTGAAGGAGTCCGACACCAGAAATTTTGGTTTATTAATTCTGCTTGATTATAGTAAAGCATTCGACATGATTAATCACGAATTGTTTTTATCGCAATAACATTTCTTAGAAACTATCTGTAGGGTAGAACACAGAAAGTATTATATGTAATGGTGTATCGTCTAGCGTAGAGCAAGTTGGACGAGGAGTAGCCCAAGGTTCAATCCTATGCCCTCTTTTTTATACAATATATACAAACAATTTGTGTTCGGTTTTACATTATATGTTTTTTAACAAAAACGATGAATCAGAGTGCATTCAGAAAATATATACTGATCTAAATGCCTTGCTGAAAGCATCTACCCAACATAATTTGGTGATTAATTCAGACAAATCAGCTGTTATGTTTTTTCTGTCTATAAAAATTAACGATGTGGCTCTACCAACTGTTCAAAAAGCAAAAAATTTGGGGATAATGCTAGTCAATCGATTAAAATTCACTGATCATGTTTCTTATGTTCTACAAAGATCCTTTTTTAAACTAAAAACTTTATATCATAGCAGACATTTATTTGACAAAAAACTAAAGATACAATTCTGTGACTCTCTCGTTCTAAGTAATTGAGATTGTAAGAAAAAAGCCGAAGATCAGGTGGATGTGTTATGTTTCAAAGAAACACAGATACAACCTTTGTTTTTCATTTTTTAAGCTCTATGTTTTTCATCTCAAGCTGTATGAAAATAATGAAGAACCAATTTGATACAGTACATCAGAATATACGGGATCTTTAGACTATTGAGAAAATATCGTTTTATTACCTGTGGTCGTTTGAAGAGTCTAGAACCTATAATTAAAGAACAATCAGTTTCGTCACGGATACTCTTATTTTCTACAGCTAAGTTCGTTTGTAGATTTAGTTCGGTAAGTATTATTACGTCATGTTGTATCAAAGGTTGATCTTCTAAACATTCAACGACCAGGTCAGACAAAATTAGAGTGTCATCTGGAGTTTCAGCATCTACAATCTCAGCACATTTTATTTTGTAAAGAAGAGTGTTTTCAAGTAAAATTTGGGTGTTAACTCGTATGGATTCTTGAGAAGACAAATTAGTGTTATTTGGTATAAATAGGTATGATTCCAGTACAGGAACTCCAAGATTTTTTCTTCTTTGAATTCGAGTAGCATGAAGTCCTCTAATTTCAACCCCGCCTGACCTATAAATATAATTAATTATATACAAATTGTGCATTAAAATCAAGAAATCAAGATTACGAACAACCAGAGAAAAAATTATAAAATGTAAATATTTTATGAAACCTATCGAGAAGGTGTTAAAGTAAACGAAAAAAATTTGTTGAAATATGTACTAATACCTTATGCAGTCAATAGTTTTGTAGTAGAAAGCTTCATAGATTGATTCATCTTCATGTACAGAAAGAGCAGAAGAAATATCTGCGTGTTCCTCAAAATTAATTTTAATAGAGTTAATAATTGTCGGTACATATAAACCTCTAGTATCTTGTGCCAGTATTTTTAACTGAAATAAATTATCTAAGAATGTAACCCAATTATTTGTAAATTTAATTACTGCCCTTGAACCATCTATATTAGTTTCTTGAATTCCTCTAAATTGTCCCCTAAAAACAAAAAATAAATTTAAATTACACCGATTCCCAGAAATACCTAAGTATATTCCGTTGCAATTTATAGTAGAAAATCGTTTTGCTTTAAACATGAAGGAAGATTGTGTATTCGTCGGAACAGGGACGGTGCTCTCAAATGGACTTTACAAATTAATGTTTTCTGTTTGGGGAACAAATATATTAATATTTCGTATGAATGTTCGTAAGATTTTATAGTTTTCCATAACCTTAGCAACAAGCGTGTAAAGAAATTCAGTTCAATCAACAATCGACATTATCGAGAAACCGCGATTACCTGAACAGCTATCGGCGCTGTGCCTGGCACGAATATTCCTTGATTTTACCATTTAAATACATGTAAAATGTCCCCATCTCTGTTGCTCATATAAGCTGCTGGTAAAATTTCTCTCTCTCCCCTAGTGCCAGCTGAGAAATGGCTCCGGTACGCGGCAAGAACTTAGAGACTTATGCAGCGCGAGGTTGCCACATTTTAAATAATTTTTGAATATAAAAAGAAATGCATAAAATAAAAATATAAGACGTTTTAAAAATAAAAAATATATTTTTGCATCAAAAATAAGGTAGTGCCATGGCACAGTGGCACTACCTCACGAGCCACCACTGATCTACGATATTTTGATTATTGATTAATTGTACGACTGTCATTTTCTTTAAAACTTTCGGCCCAAAGGATGAAAAAGGAGAATCGGAACAGTACCGGCAAAATCGGAACTCTGGGACATCCGGTATAAATGATCAATATATCATACACAAATCTTCAAAATGACTTACGTATAATTGTATCCCCTTAATCGAAGTTCCTTATAAACATCCCTTTGAGATATAACTTTCGAAAAATTTCCTTCTTTAGTTAAAGGGATCATTTGTACTTTTTCATAATATTTGATGGTTACTTTTCCTGTTACTACCACAGAACCACTTTCAGAAATTTCGAATTTTCCACTATCAGTAAGTTGTACACATAATTCCACGCTGGCATTGCCAGTAAAAGAGGTAGCGCGTAGAAAACAACAGTCTTCAAATATTATGGAATGTGATTTACCCTCCAGTCCAAGTGTTATCCATACTAATTGTAAGTAGCCAGATGCTGGAAATAGGACCCTATCTAAAAAAAAGTTTAAAAAATTTAAAATTTAAAAAATTTAAAAAATTTAAAATTTAAAAAATTTAAAATTTAAAAAATTTAAAATTTAAAAAATTTAAAATTTAAAAAATTTAAAATTTAAAAAATTTAAAATTTAAAAAATTTAAAATTTAAAAAATTTAAAATTTAAAAAATTTAAAATTTAAAAAATTTAAAATTTAAAAAATTTAAAATTTAAAAAATTTTAAATTTAAAAAATTTCAAATTTAAAAAATTTAAAATTTAAAAAATTTAAAATTTAAAAAATTTAGAATTTAAAAAATTTAAAATTTAAAAAATTTAAAATTTAAAAAATTTAAAATTTAAAAAACTTAAAATTTAAAAAATTTAAAAAATTTAAAAAATTTAAAAAATTTAAAAAGTTTAAAAAATTTAAAAAATTTAAAAAATTTAAAAAATTTAAAAAATTTAAAAAATTTAAAAAATTTAAAAAATTTAAAAAATTTAAAAAATTTAAAAAATTTAAAAAATTTAAAAAATTTAAAAAATTTAAAAAATTTAAAAAATTTAAAAAATTTAAAAAATTTGAAAAATTTAAAAAATTTTAAAAAATTAAAAAATTTAAAAAATTTAAAAAATTTAAAAAATTTAAAAAATTTAAAAAATTTAAAAAATTTAAAAAATTTAAAAAATTTAAAAAATTTAAAAAATTTAAAAAATTTAAAAAATTTAAAAAATTTAAAAAATTTAAAAAATTTAAAAAATTTAAAAAATTTAAAAAATTTAAAAAATTTAAAAAATTTAAAAAATTTAAAAAATTTAAAAAATTTAAAAAAATTAAAAAAATTTAAAAAATTTAAAAAATTTAAAAAAATTTAAAAATTAAAAAAATTAAAATTAACAAATAATTGTTAAAAGTCAAAAAAATTGTTCCTAAATAAGTAGAAGAAGAAAATTAGCATTATTTCATGAAGACGAATTTTTAGTAAAAAAATTCTGGATTTTCCAGTGGCGTGCACAGGGGTAATTATTAAGATTTCATTACAAAGATAAAGTCGTTTAGTAGTTTATATATGAACTTTTTATCTTAAAAATAAGTTTGGCGACATACTTATTAATTACCATAATATATATATATATATATATATATATATATATATATATATATATATATATATCTAATTTTTTTGAAATATGAACTTTTTTGTTGCAATTGGGCCAGAATTTTTTAATAATAGCAAATATCTACGACTGCATCAGAAAGTTATTAAGTAGTTCTATACCAGTGAAATTAAACAATATCCTATTAATAATTTATTATTTACGGTTAACAGGAATTTACAGTTTCAATTACTTTAAATCACAGCACATACAAAATCGTATTTTGCTAAAAAAATATTAGATATATATGAATTTAGTGCAAAAATTAATTGTTGTTTTAAAATAAATTTGGAGGCCAAATGTGCGAGGAGACCAACGACATTATCTCGGTCGCGTTTTGCTAAATGACATCTATGTTTTCTTCATGACTTTGCTGATAGAAGGAAGTAACATTATTTCTATAATTGGCCATCTAGCTACAGCTGGGAAGGCTGCAAGAGTCATGGTTTTTATGTGAGCAAACTCTAACAGCTAATATTCTTCTGGCAGTCTGCGAAATATTTCTTATATTTTCCCAGTTGTTAGACCAGATTTTTTATGGAATGATGGAGAATAAATACATTACTTACCATCTATAACATGTCCATTGATGTATTCCCATGCATTATAAGAAGGAGAGATATCGAATATATTGCAATATCCTTTCGAATTTATTGTACTCTCTTCGAAGAGCCACCATTTACGTGAATGGTTCCATTTTATTTTACTGGAAATGACTGGCGTACCTTTTTTGACTGGGAATTCCACCTTAGGATACAACTGATCAATTGCAGACAAATGCCCACGAAAATATAAACTAAAAATAGAAATGTAAATATTATCACCAATTATATTTATACATTCTTTACCTTCCTAGACATTCCAAAAAGGTTTGGAAATTATGAAAACTTAATGTTTCAATATCATCTAAATCTAAACCATTGGTGGCCTCTTTCAAGTTACTTAAGCCAACTGCGAAAATTAGAGCGTTAGATTTCAGGTCTTCATCTAACGTTTCAGTTTTAAGAAGTATTGCATCTGCAAAGTGTTCGGCAGATGCAATTTTTGTCTTCAATGAACCGTTAGTCCATGATCTTGGAGTATCCAAAACGGTTAGTAAGTTTTTAACTAAATTATTTCCTAAAAAAAGAAATAATCAATAATTAAGAAAATGTTGGAGAAAATAAAATAATACTCACTGGAAATAGACCACTTTTGTTGTACTTGTTTGGAATTGCTAGAATGTTCAATATGTCCGTTTATCTAGAAAATATTGAGAAATAGATTTTTAATTTTTATCAGAATTGGTAGTGAAGCTAAAATTTTCAGAATTTGTTATTGCAATTTTATCCATTACATCAATGTCAATAAGATTAAGAAAAACACAAACTTGTCTATGTTAGTATAATTATATTTAAAATATAATTCTTGTAGAGATCGAGGCAAATCATAACATTTTCTTTGTCTACCATTTTAGATTGCTCAGATTTATAGTCTTGTAACTAAAAGTATGTGACTAGGGCCATTGATCTGTTCAATTTGCATTTCTATTTAAATACTATTGTTCCAAGAAATTAAAAATCGGTAAACAAATAGTAATTTGCACATTTCAGACTCGATAACTGCTTCATAATTACCTGTTCTGTTGAAATTGCGTTGAATTCTGCATTTAAAATTAAAGCACAATTAAACACTTCATCCAGAGTTAGTATATTATCATAGTAGGCGCAAATTAATTCTCCATATGAATATCCTTGCACTGAAGCTACACGAAGTTTCAGAGATTTTAAAATATTCGAGATACCAATTTGCACAATTATACGCCCCAATACATGAAACTCTTTTCTAACTTCTTTTTTTGGATTCAAAATAGTACTACTTATCGATAAGTTTTTACATGTTAAACATTTTTCCAACCTAGAAATAAATACGAATTTGCAATAGATGATTTTAGTGATTATTTTTTTACGTACCTACGAAGAGTATCTTGAAAACATGGCACAGAAGAAAATTCTGTGAGACTAGTTTCCCAATTATTATATTCACCAAAAAGAAAGTGTAAGGGTAATATTTTTAGAGTGGGAACTTCGTAAATTTCTCTATATACTTCTCCACTTTTAGAAATAATATTATACCCTCTATAATTGTGAGACTTGATATAGTTACTACAACAAAATATCCTTTAATGATAAAAATACACACTAATATGTTCCTTACCTAAAAGTACTTTGTAGCAACCTTACGTAATTTACATCCAATGGTCTAGATATCACATCGTTTAACAGAACGGTGACTGCATTCTCTGATCTACCGCTTACAAAAACTAACCTAGATAAGTCATCGTTTGGTTGTCCATTGCCTTTTTTAGTAATAGACTTAATTATGACGTGAGCGTTACTCCCACCAAATCCAAAACTGTTTATCCCTAAAAAAAACCATCTCATAGTGACAATGGGAACTTAATTGTGTGAATTAGTTTGTTCGGTATTTTCAGTATATGTGACAACGGCACTGTTTCCTAAGGCAATAAACTAAAAAATTCCGAACGAAGCAAGAGAAGAAGAGGGATATTACCGATTTCTGACTCATGTCGTAAATATCTTGCCGTATCCACATATACTCGAACAATTTTTAAATGATGAGTAAAGTGCATGCTTTCACAGGACAAAAGCCAACCGAAGCCACCGGCGTGATACCGAAAGTGACCAATCCAATTTCGGAACCGTAATAGAAGAGAACCCTATAAAGGCCAACTACTTCCCAAACCAACAACACAATAGAAAATATGGACGTTAACAACGGAGAAGGGGCATTTATCACCTCGAAAAAATGTTCTACGAACTTTCACAATATTCTGAAAGAAAAAGCAGCACGGTCAATAAAGTTGCAAAACAAATACCAGCCACTATCCGACACTGACTCTGAGGAGGAGTATGTCAACTCCCAAAAACCACCCCCAACTGCTAGAAAACCTAAACCCAAGGTGGCAACCAAAAAATATCAAGCCCGGTACGAACGAAGCAAATAAAGACCTCACCAGAAAGACTTCTATGCCACCGATTGTCATTGAAGGCAGGACTGACAATCACAACAAAAAAGGATCTCCAAAATATTGTAAAGGGTAGATACATCCTAAAATACACAAACAATTCCACAATAATATACGTCGAGGAACAAAACGATTATAGAGACCTAATAAGCAGTGTAAAGGAATGAGAAATTTCATACATTCGTGCTAAGGGGATTAACAATAAGAATCACCACCGAACAGATCGAGGAAAATCTTATGCATTCCTACGACATAAAGGCACGAGAAATCTATAAAATGTCAACGAAAAACAGACCCTTATTCTTAATAATAACAGACCCGGCAATCACCCTGGACTTCCTTAATAAGCATATCAGGGTGGTAGAAAACACCCGAGTTGTATGGGAGCTAAGGAAATTAACCAAAAGTATTATACAGTGCTACAATTGCCAGGCATGGCTTCACGCCACGGCAAACTGCGGACACCCTCCGAAATGCCTGAAATGCGCAGAGAACCACCACACGCGAACCTGCGTGAAAACCCGCGAGACGCCGGTCACCTGCGTAAATCGCCTAGGAGACCATCCGGCTAATTATTCGAAGTGTACGGCCTACCTAGAAAGGGTAGATAGAATGGAAGAGAGGAAGAAGCAGCAACAGCCACGAAGATACGTGCAGGCTCTACTCCCAGAAGGGAACGCCAGGGAAAAGGAACAGCCTAGCGCTACCAGGCTAAATCAAGAGGAATTCCCACCACTACCCTCACGAAGACGACCCCAACAAAATAATCAACAACCGATGAGACAACAAAGCAAACCTACCGCGAACAATGCAGAACAGGGAACTATGGATGACATGTTTGCCCTTAATGATGAGTTTAATGTACTAAATGGTCTTGTTAATATTTCAGAACTCACCCGAGTCGTTATAGGGACCTCAACAACTCCCTAAGACAATGCAGAGACGAACGAGACGTATTCATCACACACAATAAATTGTAAAAAATCTAAACTCATATAAATTTAAAAATTAAATTCAATCGGACAAACTACAAACACAAACTCAGAATTTTTTTTTTATAACGTGGCTTAGTAACGAACTTCATTCACAAGCATAAGTGTGACATCATCATACTTACGGAGACCAACTTAACAAACTGACAAAATTAAAATCAAAGACTATAATATCATAAGACAAGACAGAGAAGGACAGGACAGATACAACGTACGACAAATGGCAGCGGGAGGGGTTGCTATAATTGTCAAAAATAATCTCGAATTCGCGCATTTTCCAAACCTAAACATCACACAACATCATCATAGGAGTGTACAATCCCCCGGAAAGGAAAATTTCAAACGCAGACATGCATGCGCTAATGTCTAAAGGTAACAGAGCTTTTCTAGCTGGGTATTTGAATTGTAAACATCCCGAGTGGGACGCGAACTGTATCCACGCTAACCCTGCAGGTAATTTGTTGAGAGACTTCACCGAAGACAACGAGCTAATAATTCACTACACGGACGAACCTACATGCACACCCTACAACGGGGACACCCCAAGTACACTGGACATTGCAGTCACTAAAAATATAACTGACGTACAAAATATTAGAACAATTAGTAGGTACATTAAATTCAGATCACGATCCAGTATACTTGGAAATACGAACGACACAGAAAACTAACAGAAGACAAAAACAATACTTCGACTACAAGACAACAAACTGGAACAAATACAGACAAAAAATTGAACAAACACTAACAATAAACAACAACATAAATAATACAAAACTTGTAGAACAAAAAACACGAGAATTCATAACAGTCGTACAAAAAGCTAGAGACGACTCAACAAAAATCAAAACCCACACACAAAGACACGCTGCCACCCGAAATAACTGACCTCATTACAAACAAAAATCAAATACGTAAAAGGAGCATTTTTATATAGTCAGGTAACATTTCTAAAAAAAAAGGTCCTCAGCCTATTTTTCGTAAAACGAGTAGAACAGTTTTATATAATCAGTTCAAAGCGTGGAATTTGCATAAAAAGCGTACAGGGCAAGTCAAAAAGCGTGGCAATCACGCCAAAAGCGTAACGTCTGGCAACCCTAATTATGACCCATGACATCCCTATGGGCCATAATGAGGTACAAACGGCACTATACGCCGATGACATCTGTCTTTTCAAAAGCAATCATTCTGCAAAAAGTGCAACAAGAACTCTGGACATCCATATAAACAGGAAACTAATACCCTATCTAACGAAAAACAAAATGAAAATCAACCCCGCGAAAACGGAAAGTATGCTCATAACAAAGAGAAGATCTAGGGGCATTCATATTACCCTAAAAATCTGTGAACAAAACATTCATACAGGCGACAGAATGAAATAGCTCAGTTTTCAGTTAGATAAGGGATTAACATGATTTATTTTTTCTAACATATGTTTTTTTTTATGTTGTGGGGTCAATATTTTAAACATGTATATTTGATTAATATCCATAAGATAACTTTTTTTATATAGAAGGTCATAATCATATCGTTTAGGTTTCTTTAGAATAATTTTTATAAACATTTTTTGGATAGTTTGTAATTTTTTAATTTGACTTTTATATGCCCCTTCCCACCCTGCTATTCCGTATTGTAGTAATGAGTGTACTAATGAGAAATAAATTGTTTTCAAATTATCAATTTTTAAAATTGATCGAAGTCTTCTAAATTTATACACTATGTATCTGATTTTTTTTAATTATTGATGATATATGTACATCCCATTTTAAAAACCTGTCAATTTCGATTCCCAGATATCTACAACTATTTGTCTCCTGTATTTCTAATTTATTATAATTTTGAGTCTTCAAATTAGAGTTTATGTAAACTACTTGGACACCCGATATAACCGCAGGCTGGTTTGACCAGACTATTTTTGCTGATTGATTCGTCAACCTATTTGTTCCTCACGCGAGAAAACATCGCAAATATGTAAAAATTGTCTGCTTAGGCGATAACCTTGCTAGTCATTTTCTTCAGAAGTAATAAAATCTGCAGAAAAAAATAACATTGTATTCGCTTGTTTTCCGAAAAATTCAACGTATCTATGCCAGTCACTGGACGTGGCCCTTTATACACCTCTGTAACGCAAGTGGCGTGAGATACTGGATGCCCAAGTCGTTATAGACGCTCACTAATATATTACAACTGGTATATCTTACCCATAATAGGGTTTTCTTCTTTAATTTCTAAAAGATCCGTAACAACTTGCATTCTTCCCTCAATAATGCCTAGAAGATTCGGATTTGGGACATTATAATGTATATTTGGAGACACCCATCCACATTCCATGGCAAGAAGAACCTTAAAATAAATTTAAATAAAAAAATAATGATCGAGCCAAAATTAGCTTCTTTTTTACCTTTACAACAGAACACAAACCAGAAACAGGTTCTGTGTGACCTATACTCGATTTAACTGATCCAATAGGTAATGGAGTTTTTCTAGTTTTACAGAAAAAGTCGTCTATAGCGTAGCATTCCTCTGGATCTCCCACTGTAGTACCTATAAGATGTTAAAAAAAGATGTAGATACCGTGGAATCTTTAAAACTTTAAGATTCCAGTGATAAAATATAATAATAATTGATGTATAAACTATAAACCATTTAACTCCTAGCAATTATGGAATGTTTCACGAGTTAAAAAAAGGATCTGCGATCTGAGTAATAATATGTCCAACAGAGTTTTGAAAGAAATGAGAAATATTGTAAGATTTGAACTTCTTTGGAAGATAATGCATATAATTTAAATCTAATTTCTACAAAAATGCGTCCATGGCCTATATACATTCGATAGTTAGGGAAGTTTTCGATAACTTTTTAATACCAGACATCGTCGTCTTCGTCGTTGACGACGTAGTCGTTAAATGAAATGATTTAGGGGAGGGGGTTTAGTTGTCGTTGAATGAGTGGATTCCGTAGGTTTTTCACTTGTCGTTGCAGAGGATTTATTAGCCAATAATGAATTTGTTAATCAAAATCTAAAATTTAATTTAGAACAAAGCTTACTTTGGATAGTGATCGCAGAAAAATATATTTAAATAAAAGTAATAAACTTACCTGTTCCATGAGCTTCTAGAAATGACAAAATATTTGGTGATAAGTTAATTTCAGCATACATTTCTTGCATAAGTTGCTTTTGATCCTCTCCAGAAGGATAGTTGATTCCTTGTTCTTTATATCCATCACTATTTGCTTTCGAATTCATTATCTCTGCGTATGCTCGTTTTGCAGTATTAGCCTTTTGAAGAATAACACTCACTACCGCTTCAGCTCTGACATATCCATTACCTTTAATATCGAAAGTTTTACATCTGCCATCAGGACTTAAAACACCTAAACTGAAATGGAATAATATATACTTTTAATTTCTACTTGCATTGATAGAGAAAGTCTACGAAGAAAAAGAAGTTTGCTTTCCATTGTTCCTTAACATCATGTAGCACCAAGGGCGGCTCCAAGACAATTTGGGGGGGGGGCATTGCCTTTAGGAATTCCCTTTTTAGCATATTTTTTTGAATAAAAGGCGCATAATTCGTAAGAATTTTCATCCCCCCTGGAGCCGCCCTTATGCAGCACGCAGGCTTTTGATAAAGTCTGGCATAAAGGACACAATAAAACTGGCACAAATACTACCTAAGCAGTATGTACAACTTTTAGGATCATACATAACAGATAGATGTGTTATAGATGGAGCGCCCTTGGTCCTGTCTTGTAGAATAACTGTAGTGGCAGACTTTATTCCTGAGATCCTCAACGGTATAGCATACAGTGTGTCCAGGAGAGCGAGCCTTACTGTTTTCCAACTGATGATTCAGAAAATGTTCAAAATATGGGACAAATCCCAGATAGATGTGTTCGCATTAACTGCTTTAACATATATATCAAGGGATGCAAAGACAGGCAAGCTGTTTTCATAGATGCTTTCAACAGAGAGCTTCCAACTAGCGTGGGTCTTCCCGCTACATGGTGAGAGCGATCAGTCACCTAGATTCAGCTTGCGTGACTTACATCCTGTTAGTACTTAGATGGGAAAAGTTTTTCTGAAGAGCGAACTTGAAGATGAGAACGATATCCCCTTCATTTCAGATTCTAAGCTTGCAATACCACCTCCTGGATTATAAGATAGGGAAACCTTTACCGAATGCTCAAAAAATAAATTTGGAGGCGAGGAAGATACATAATGGGCTAGTCTCATTGAAGACTGGCAACAAGAGGAGATAAGGCTCTTAGAGAAATCTTGGTGAAATTCGATACTGAAGACTTATGCGGTTTCATGGAAACAGTGAGTTGCTTGGTACAACAGAGAAAAGCGAAATTTTGCCATACCTTCTCCAAGTATACCTGCTCAGTATATTTCCTTTCTTTATAGAACATAAAGTTATTCTCGACTACAATTATACTATATAACTCCAGCGGACCTTTATAACAGAACTCAATTATCAAGCATTTTACAGGCATCGCTTCCTAATTTGTCAGTAGTGGGGTAAAGTTTGCGCACTGCTGACACACCTTCAAACGATCTTACTGGCTACTATTAAAGCTCAGTAGCGTATACTACTTTCGCTTAAAATAAATTTTCTAGGATTTTTAAAACGATCATGGTCAGATTAATCACAAAATTTTAAGAAAATTACCTAAAATTTTAATTCTTAATAACGGTCAAATCGAGTCCGCCCTCGTTTCCAAGAATGGCTATCATTTGATGGTATTATAGGAAATACCAGATTACCTACACAATGGATCAAACGCAATTATGTACTACAGAATTTGTTAAAATTTATTTGTTATCTAGGAGCTAAAATGTATTCTGTTAAAAAAATTTATTGGGTGAAAAAAATGGCAATTTTGCACTTGATATCTTTAATATTTTAACAAAATATTAAATTAAGACACCGAGGATTTTTTAAAAATATGTTATAGGTCAACAAATACTGAATTTATACTAACCTCTATTGCTTGTTTCTATAACTACTATCAAACAAAATATTTATCTTCGACAGCTATTACATGTGCACATCTTTTTTCCAGTCTTCTTGCGTTACTAATTTAAATTCAATTTCAGTTAACATTTGTAGATGTGCTAATTTAAAATGAATATTCTTTATAGCTACATTATTTTTTACTACAGCCCAGATCATTTCTATTGGATTTAAGTTTGGGTGGTATGGTGGTAATCTCAAAACTGTATGACCGTGTTCAGAGAATAATCTATCAAATTTGCATTACTTAAATCTATTTTAATGCGGTTTGATTAATGTGTATAGCTGTGGTCGTAATAAGGAAGGTTGAAATTATTATTGGACGTCAACCAGTTTATCATTTCAACTTTTCTTGAATTTGAATTCGGAGCAGGATTTTCTATAACATTGTAATACGGTGCATTATCCACAAATACAATAGCATTTGGTGGTAAATTTGGTATTAACAGTTGTCTTAGCCACTTTTCATAATTTTCTTGATTCATATCATTATGATAATCACCAGATTTGGTCCCAGACCCAAACATTAATAAACTGTTAGGAATAAAGTCCATGTTACCACCAGCATAAACTATAATAAGTCTCTTTCCTTTCGAAATGGTGGAAAACAAACCTTTTGCATTATCATCACCCCAAGTATGTGATGATGTATGGCTACTATGTATATAAGTTTCATCAATATATACAATGGGACGGTTTTGAGAACGAAAATATCTAATTTTTTTTAATAAAATCTATTCTTTTTTTTTCTGATGTCAAGCTGTTCTATTAGAACCTGTCTGTTGTTTCGCGTTTTTCGCCACTTGAACTAATTTTTTTTTAAAATAGTTCTAATTCCACTTAATTTCCTTTTTTAATTTTTCACTAAGAGTTTTGACTGTTACGCGCATACCTTCTGTTTCGTGAAATCTATGAACTATATCTCTGATTGTTCCAATATCTGTTACACTTGATATTATTTTGCGCTTTTTTGGACTTTTAAACAATTGTTTAGGTATGGTCGACGTAGACTTTTCACCTTTTGATATCTCACCTTCTATAATTATTCGTTCAATTGTTTTTACCGAGTATCCTGTAGCGTCAGCAACTTGTTCTTTAATTTCAGTGAGAGTTTTGGGATCATGAAATATTATTTCCTTTGCTTGACTACCTAAATGTTTCGACATTTTAACACAAGTAAGTCACTACTCAAAAGAAAACACTACAAACAAATAAAAATAAAATATAACTCTACACAAACACAAATTCAAGAAAATATTATCATCTACTGATCACCCCCGACAACACGGCTATTGTTTGCATCTCTCTTTAACAGTTACAGTAGGCGTTGACAACTGAAATTCGAGATTAACGCGCATCCCCTCTTCAGACAAATTATAGGTTCTTTCGTTCGTCCCATTGGTGTAGGAATGAACTACACCAACGTACACTAAACCTTTCGTTTGGCCCGGTGTAAAACGCACTATACCCTCCTGTCTGCGATGTGGTGTCCACTGGTGGATATTTTCTCCACCAGCTATTTAGCAGGAGTGAATTACACTCGACGATGTGTATAAGGAATAAGGAGGAAGTAAATTAGGGTAAATAAGGTGGTGTAACTGGTGTAATTTACACTGGTGGACACTACACCAATAGCGAACGAAATAACCTTATGTTGCGATGCCTGTACTTGTGAAACATATTTGGAATGTCAGGACCCTAATTTATTGGATGAGGAGCGAAGAAATTGATGAATGCAGTATATGTTCGGAGGTAAAAAAACATTTTAGGTCCTGTCTAGGTTAGACCTAGTTGAGATCATGATGATTTAACACGAGTAGGTACTAAGGTATAGAACCGCGCAAATATAGCTGGCGAACAAAGTAAGAAGGGAGAGAAAAAAATGAAAAGTAAGTAAAAGAGACGCTTACACATAGGGTAATTTGAGAAAGGTCAAGTCTAGACAAAAGCTAAAATAATTCTTTTTTTGCCCTTCGCAGAAAAAAGTATATTTATTATATTTATACAACTCTTTATGTAATATAGGTACCTACCTTATTATTATATTATTAGAGGTGTTGTTTAAAAAGTTACCTTTTATTGTATACTCACCGTTGAAACTGTAAGGTGGTACCAACTCTTAGGCACATATTTGCTCCTATTACTATGGCTTTATCGCAAACTCCAGCCATTATATCCTTAAAGGCTAATTCAAGTGCATGTAAAGAACTACTACATGCAGTATCTAAAATGACTACAGGACCTTTTAATTTTAAATAATATGCCAGTCTTGGCCCTATAGTTGCTTTCAAAATACTAAAAAGAATAAGAAACTTTAATGATTATTAAGAACCGTGTAACGCAATGTTAGAAAAGTCCCGTCCTGTCCCGTGGTGCTTTTTATAAATTCATGTACTGCTAATGATTTAATAATGTGGGTCTAGAACAAGATGGTGCTCCTTCTTATTTCGATCGGCAAGTGGGATTTTATCTAAATACTAGGTTTTTAACGAAGTTGGATGAAGAATATTTCTAAAATGGTTTCCTAGGTTACCAGACCTAAATTCATCAGATTTTTCTGAGGTAATTTGAAACATTGTACAAATTCAAACTTGTAAACGATATATTAATGAAATCGATTTTTCGACCAAGTCTGACGAATTGGGAATATACCCTGGAATTTCCAAGATCCAAGATTTTTTCGACCTCGAGTTTTCGACGGATTTTTACGTTTTGAGGTCACCTGAATCCGTTTTGACTATTTTCGCGATGATGTCTGTCTGTGTGTGTTTATGTGTATGTATGTGTGTGTGTGTGTGTGTGTGTGTGTATGTGTGTGTGTCTGTGTGTCTGTGTGTGTCTGTATCCACCATAACTCATGAACCGATACACAGAAAAACACCAAATTTTACACTTAAGCTTTATTCCAGCGTTCAATAAACAGATTAGATTTTGGGCAGAGTCGGAACATTTTTATATTTTATGGAATATATTTGTTATTTACGTTTGTAGAAGAAAATTCTTCAAATAAAAGTTACTTCTAATATTATTATCTATAATTTTTGTTCTATATAAAATTTTCCTAAAATGGTCCGTATTCGAGAAATTTAACAAAATGTAAAAAAAAAATTTATAAAAATTGTTCAAATAAAAGTTGTTTGTAATATAATTCTTTATACTTTTTTCCTATACATAATTTCTCTTCGAGATATTTGAGAAAATGTGTAAATTTCGAATTTTGAAAACATTAAATTTTAAACTTAAGTTTTATTTCGACCTGACGTGAAATGATTAAATTTTGGACAAAGTCAGAACATCTGGGGGGTACTTTATGGGAGGCCGTTTTTATATTTTATGGAATATATCTGTTATTTATGTTTGGAGAAGAAAATTGTTCAAATAAAAGTTACTTCTAATATTATTATCTATAATTTTTGCTTTATGTCAAAATTTCCTGAAATGGTCCGTATTCGAGAAATTTTACAAAATGTGCAAAATTCTGATTTTTATGAAAATTGTTGAACTAAAATAAAAGTTGTTTGCGATATCGATCTCTATAATTTTTGTTTATACATGATTTTTATAAAATGGACCGTAATGGGAAAATTATAGGAAAAGTGCTAAATTTAAATTTTTCATTATTTTCGTTTTCAATGAATATCTATAGAAAAATGTTTCGAGGTAGATGTATGTGGAAAATGAATATATTTAGTTTATCTTCTAAACATTTATAGAGGTGCTGCAATAACTAGATAGGAAAGTCATGTGTTGGACACATCAGATTTTTAACAAGAGTAAATTCTTGTTAAAAAGTCATGAGATCAATACTTATTGTTTATTAAACGATAGGCTATTATTTTATTCTTTCTCTGTCCGATAATTTCTCCAATTCTACAATGATCAAATTGTAAAACTTTCACAGAAATAAGTTAAATGTCAATAGTACAATAGTGACACTTTATTTATTATTAAATGTTCGGTGGTACAAATTTTTAAATATTGCGAATATAATGTTACACAAATTATGCGTAGAGGAAAGTAAAAAATTTCCCTTTTCAATTACAAGTAAAATTTATGAAAATACGTGCAATAAAATTAATAAATCTTATCCAAAACTGCAAGTCTTTGAGATATTTAAATATTTCCATACTTTTGGGCCACTAGTCAATTGAAATACGAAGGTGCTCGTGTTTTTAGTAATCAAAATGTGATTAATTTACTTACCTAATGAAGGTAAATTGGTGTTCAGGACGATTGGAAATCCAAGCCTCAGATTCACTGAAACTCATTCCGATGTATACGCCTACATTAGTATGTTCTATATCTGCAGGATTTAATCCGGCATCTAGTAATGCTTCAAAGGTTGTTTCAAACATTAACCTGTGGCACGGATCTGCATAATTCGCCCACTTCCAATGTTCACCTTAAAAACGTTTTTTTATTCAATGTCCCATATAAACCGTTAAACATACAGATTGGGTTAAATGGGATGTACCGAATTTTTTTTTCTTATTTTGTCAGCTTTGATAAGAGATTGAACATAGCATATCAACTGTATTGTTTTTAAATTTCTAGGAATGTTGTTCAAAAGAAGATGTGACAAAAGTTACCTCCAAGAAATTTTGATCAAGCTATCAACAAAACAACTTTTAAAAAGCTACAGTGATGTTTATTTTTATTCCTCAGGTAAAAGGAGTTTGAAATCATTGTTACTAGAGAATTAAGAAGTAGCTTCAGAATTTGTGGGAATTAATTCCAAAGTTTCTCCCGAACTTTGAAAATCATGAATTCCATAAGAAACTCCATCGCCCTGTAGCTTTTTTAAATTACGTACACATATATCCACGTACGAGCAATGTAAACAATTAGTGTATTTGTTTTTTATAGAACTCATGTCAGTAGACACCTATTTTTTTAAGGTAAAAATATCAGAAGAAAATTTTATTTCTAAGTAAGAAATATCAGAAGTGTAGAATCTTTCATTCAATTATCCCATTGTAAATTAATGAGACAGCATAATTGTAAATTGTATATTAAAGACATAGAAATAGTATAGAAACCATAAGGAGAAAATAGTGTGTCGGAGCTCATGCGCATAACGGTGCTGGCTCGGACAGGACCGGTGCACATTATTTATTGATCGAACAAAGTTCACACGATGTTTCAGATTGGAAGTCATACATTTTTAGAGATGATTCTATATACAAAACGTTAAAAAAAATTCTAGTAAGGTAAATATGGTTCTGAAAGTCCTTATTAAGAAAGATATGGCATAAAATGTGAATTAGTTAATTTTCGGCAATCATTAGTGCTATAATAACGAGATTTTGCTTGTGTTCTGACATCTTATTTGATTTAGTATCATTTGCTACAAGTAAATTTAATTTGGGGAGGGCAAAATAGGGGGCAGTTGCGTTTCTCACAAGAATATTATGTTCGACATTTTTTTACATTTTGTCAGCCGAGACTAGGAATCGTTACTTACAATTAGACAGAAAACCTTTAATGTTACAATTTTCAATATAAATAATGCAAAGATGTCTACATCTCCCAAGATTCAAAATGAAAAACTACCACTACATTTCCTTTGTACTTGGTACATATTTTATTTTAATTTTGAACCCTTTTAAAAGGGTCTTTCAGTTCCATAATAAAAGTTAGTCGCTGCTTACATAGTAACATTCTATGGGGTCTATTCTGTAACAATTCCTTTATACTTAACGGCCTTTAAAACTATTTTCTTCTTTACTTCTGTCATTATTTAAACGGATCTTTAAAATACATTAGAGGACTATCTTAAAGAAATCTGTTTAAATAATGACAGAAGTAAATTAACGAATACGAACATATTTTTATAGGCCGCCAATATTTTTAAAGGCCGTTAAATATAAAGGAATTGTTACAGAATAGACCCCTATATAGTCTAAACCAATTTATGGATTGTTTTCGATCAATTTAATACAAAGATTTTAGTCGCTGAAAACAATCCACATCAGCACATAAACTATAAATAAATAGTGGACAATCATGGCTAAAAAACTGTGTGATTTAAAAGTGGCCGAATTGCGTCGAGAATTAAAAGATCGTGATCTGGAAACGACAGGAAAGAAAGTAGAGTTGACAGAGCGGCTTAAAGAAGCACTGAAAAGTGAAGGTTTGGATCCGGGTACGTATCTATTTTCTGATGATGCGTCTTCTATAATTTCTTCTTTGGAAAGTAAAATGTCTTCCATGAAAACCGATATTTCTTCTGACATTTCCTCTTTGGAAAATAAAGTTTCTTCAGACATTTCTTCCTTAGAAGAAAAGGTGTCTTCTGATGTTGCTTCCGTAAAAAACGAAATCTCTTCTTTAGAAACTAAAGTTTCTTCTGATATCTCCTCTTTAAAAGATGAAATTTCTTCCGACTTGGAAAACAAAATGTCTTCTATGGAAAATAAATTTTCTTCTAATATTTCTTCCATAAAAGAAAGGGTGTCTTCTTTAAAAAACGAAATTTCTGCTCATGTGGAAAATAAGATAACTTCCGTTAAGGAGAAAATAATGTCTTCCGTTGAAGAGAAAATAAAAGAGATGGAAAAGAAGATAGAAGAACTGGAACATTCAGAACCGGTCAAGGACGGTGAAATAAAGTGCCATGAGGTAGAGTCGAAGTTAAAATTGGAAGAAGCTGTAAACTCTGCTCGTGTTAAAACCCCAACCTTCGACGGAAAGATGTCATGGACCAACTACCTTAAACAGTTCGAGACAAACGAATGGTCTGAGAGAGAAAAGGCCGTAAATCTGACAATCGCCCTTCGAGGAGACGCTTTAGATGTTCTTCAGACTATACCTGTGGAAGAGACTGATGATTTTGAACAACTCAAAAAGAGATTGAACATGCGATATGGCCACGAACACTTGGAGCATTTATACCAGTCACAGTTAAAGAATCGCAAACAGAAACGAGACGAGACTCTTCAAGAATACGAAGTAGATATTGCCAGGTTGGTGCGATTTGATTACCCATCAGCTCCGAAAAATATGATGGAATGTTTGGCAGTCCAAACATTTGTTGATGGACTACGCGACCACGAAATGCAGAAAACACTCCGCTTAGCCCGCCACAAAACATTGGTCGATGTCTTGTCCGCTGCTTTAGAATATGAGGCAGCTACGCATGCTTCTGGTGGATACAGTAAAGTGAGGACTGTAAAAGAAAAAAACTTAGAAGATAAACTCGACCAACTAGTTAACATACTGAAGACCTTTACTGATAAGAAGATAAAGACAAAGACCATCAGGTGCTGGAATTGCGATGAACTGGAACGTGCACGCAGTTCGTGCAAACGCCCTAGGGTCCCAACAACTGAAGACAACACGCCGTAGGAAAACTAGAGCGAATGGGCCTAGAGGGGGCAGCTTCGACCCGAAACCGTTCCAAAGACCCTCTCATACTAATAGCCTCTTTGCAATGTCGCGATGATAGTGTGTGTATACGTAGACGGCGAAGTAAATGGTAAAAAGTATACACTGTTGGTAGATACTGGAGCAACTAGGACCATTTTACGACCAACAACCATAAATAACCGTAAGAGACTTCTATCAACAAGATTGCGACTGCGGACTGCCACAAGTGAAAGTGCCAACATCCATGGGGAAATTCAGGTTCAATTGGAAATTGGTACAGAAAAGTTCACTCATACTGTTCTTGTCGCTGATATCGAAGAAGATGTTATTCTTAGAATGGAAGTAATGAACTTACATGGTTTCCCGTTGGACTTGAGAATACGGTGGTACCTGGCAGAAGTGAAACCGTTATAATAGCTCGGCTTCAAGAAACTATGGAAGAAGGAACACCTGTCATGATGGAACCTTGGAACCACGATGAAGAGGTTGAACGAGGTATTCTGATTGGAAAGGGGTTGGTCACGACTGCCAAAGAAATATCAGTTCGTCTCATCGTCTCATAAACGTTAATGATCATCCGATTACCATCAAGAAAGAGACCAGAATCGGAACTTGTGTACCAGTAACTTCCATAATTCGTCAGACCACAACTTCCGATAATTCCAATGACAAATTTGAGCAAATGATTGCAGTTGCTGGTCAATCTCTGAACAATTAGAGAAAAATAAAATAAAGGATATCGTGACATTTTTGTACCAAAAGGAGGAAAAACAGGAAGAACTTCTGTCGTAAAACACAAAATTGACACTGGTGACGCCAGGCCGATTCGTCAATCAGCTCGAAGATTATCAAAGGCCAAGATAGAGAAAGCTGAAAGGATTGTTCAGGAAATGAAGGAAGACAGGGTGATAGAACCTTCTACTAGCCCATGGGTCTCTCCGGTAGTCCTGGTCCAGAAAAAGGATAAAACTATGAGGTTCTCTGTGAATTACCGTCAGTTGAACAATGTTACCAAGAAAGACAGTTACCCTCTGCCTCGTATCGACGATACCTTGAACACATTGGCCGGAAGTAAACTATTCTCTACCTTGGACTTGAAGTCTGGGTACTAGAAGGTGGAAATGGACCCAGTAGATAAAGAAAAGACAAATAAATTAGACTATCGTTACAATATTTTAGCCTTACAATACGAAGCGTTTTGCATATAACACTTATTTTATTGAACGATGAATGTTGACAGGCGTGTACCTTTTTCGGAACAAGAGGCGCTTTAAAGACGAAAATTATTTCGAACTATCTAGTTAGTTTTCGGAAAACTAGAAAACGTTTGAAAGTCGTCAATAACATTAGCGTGTCGTTTATGTGTTTCATTTTGATCAGCTTTCATTCTAAATTGCATAGAATACTCTTCCTCCGATTCAAAATCGAGATTCTCGATATTTCCACAGGTTATTTATAAAACTTTCTAAACTGGCTTTATCTATCATTTTATATACTTTATAATATATGTTCACGCTCTATTTTGCACTTTATTAATTTATTAACAATTTTTTTTATTGACATACCTCAAAATGGGAGATTTTCTCAATTCATTGAAATAATTTTTTAAGTATGTTTTTAATGTATGTTGAGCGATAATTCTTTACTACGTTGCCCGATTTCTATGATTCTTTTTGTTAGAAAATGAATAGTTCGATATACATTTAGTCAAGATCTAAAGATGGGATCCATGAGAAAATCATTAACATCTTCATTTTTAAAGTAGGTTTCTTAAAAATTTTTTTAACCGTACTGGTTTGCACACGGTAAGGAATGAAGAAATGTAAATAATTGTTGTGCCAGCCAAAAAGCGAAGAGGAAGTAACGATTAAAATATCGAGTGACAGAAGAGTTTCTAAGTACGTTGAGATCGGATTTATGTTTTAAAATGCGTATTTGAAAGTATACCCCATGCCAACTCCGCCAGTGACGTCACAAATGTTAAGTAAAGGTACAATTTAATAGGGTTAATTTTCAGTTTCTACATTTGAAAATATACCCAATGCCAACTCAGCCAGTGATGCCATAAATGTTAGGTAAAGGTACAATTTAATAAGGTTCCTTTTCAAATTATTTAAATTATACCCGACTGAAACACGGTCTCTGACGTCATGAGCGTTGTGTAAAGGTATATATTTCAAACAAGCAACATTTCATGTTTCATCGGTATCAGGAATAATAGAAAGGGCATCTCATTTAAATTAAAACGGAAATAACAGAACTGTCAGAATATTTTAGATGGAAAGATCATAACCTGTTTACTACTTTTAACAATTTTTAACAAAAAATCATTCATTGTTTTGTCAGATATCGATAATGTCTCCCCGTCGCTGGATAGCCTGTATATAAATATACAGCTCTCTATTTACATAATTATAATTCTTAAGTAGGTTTAGATTTCCAGACATAAATCTTGTAATAAATATAACAGCTGCTAAATACATTGATTTTAAAACTGTAATAATTATAACAGCTGCTAAATACATTGATTTTAAAACTGTAATAATTATAACAGCTGCTAAATACATTGATTACATTTTCATTAGCCAATGTAAAAATGTCTTTTATTGTACCTAGGATTTAACTTAGTACCACACACAACTTTCACCGTGTAATTAAATAATAAACCACAAATTCAAGCCAAAATATCACAAACGGTCCTGTGAGGGCAGCGTCATATAGCCTTGAAACTCGGGATTTAAGTGGTATTGCCAGGTCAATATTGAATTTGTAGGTGAATCGTTTGTTGAACATTAATACCGTATTTGTATATATTTTTGCGAATGTAATTACACATAAATATTATCAGTTGATTATTTAAATGTTTATAAGTTATTTTGAGGCGATATTTTGTAGATATAAATTGTTTAAATCATATAATTTAAAAATAAATAGATTTGAAATTCTTTTGTGTTAGGTATGTTTAATATACTTGGCAACACTACAGGGACAAGTCATGCATACTGCGCATGCTTCTAGACACACTATTTTGCGTAGAGACGCGTTTTTATGCACATTAGGTTTCAATTTTTGCTTAAATGTTATATTTATATTGGTCTTCTATATTATTTCTATGATTAGAGATTAGAGAGCAAACGAAATGTCTTATATATGTATATAAAATGTCAAAATCGGCATTATGATAATAAATATATGATTCCTATTGTAACAATGAATTGTACTTACCAAAATTCCCTGCATCATAATCTTGTTTTCGTGGAATCATTCCTAATTCACCTGATAACTCCGCATTTTTCATTTTGTCTATGTAATTTGTAGAAATCATGTCTTTTTTATTATACAGATTATCTTTGAATTCATCTACGTTATTACTGTTTGGGAAAATTCCTGACATACCTAAAGTTATATTTGGTGAATAATTGCTTGATTAAATCTCTCAATAATTAGTAATTAAAAAATAGATGATACAAGCGAATAAATGTACAAGTTATAGACAGTTCCGTACTACACAAAACACAAGACACTTTTTGATTAAAAACGTTTTATAGGAAATACTTACCTGATATTACGACAGCATCTTCTTGGACTGGATTCTTTAAATTCGTGTTCAGGAAAATATTTTGCGACGAATCGTCCTTTTTATCGGAAACCATGGTTAGACTAGGTAAAAAATAACCTCGTTAGTATTTTCATATTTTAACTTCAATTCAATTGGTAGGGGAGACACTGACACTTTTTTGGTATTAATTTGGGCAAGGTAAATTGTATAAATGTATCATTCATTCTTGCCTTGTAGAAGATGGAAATACTTTATTTAACGGACCGCTTAACTGCAGGGGTTATAAAATAATTAATTAAATGTATTTAAAATAAATAACCAGTAGATCATGAAATCCAAAAATGAGCGCTTAACGACTTGAGCTATGAAAGCTTAATTATCTAGTGAAATGTGTGACATTAGAATTTTCTACACCGTTAAAATATTTTCATTCTCGTGGAATCCCAGCTAGTACATAATGTTGCCACTATTGAAAAATTATTTTAAAAAGTATTTTCATAAATTTATTTTCATTTTTATATTTTACAAGTACAAGTACACTTTGGTGGAATATGGGAAAGTGGTGTTAAATCCGTCAAACATCACCTTTGTAGGGTAATCGGTAAACTAACTTAAACTTTGAAGAATTCGTTACAATATTGACTCAAATTGAATCAATCCTGAACTCTGGACCCTTATACCCCATGTCTGATGACTCTAATGATCCTTCTCTACTCACACCCGCACACTTCCTCATTGGAGACGCTCTAACTGCTATTCCAGAACCAAGTTACCTACAATTGCCTGATAACCGACTTCCCAAGTTTGAACAAATTCAAAAAATGGTTCAAATGTTTTGGAAACGCTGGTCGAAGGACTATATTTCCCAATTGCAATCTCGTTATAAATGGAACAATTCCAATCACGAGTCATTAAAACCAGAATTAGTAGTACTCATCAAAGACGATGATCTGCCACTTGGACGAGTCTCAGAAGTTTTCCCTGCTCAAGACGGAGTGGTAAGAACTGCTACAATAAAAACCAAAAATGGTACCTATCAACGACCTGCTACAAAGTTATGCATACTACCTATTAACGAGTCAACTTAAAGCCCTACGAGCTTTCAAGGAGGGCAATATATTTAATCACAAATACCTATCTTCACATATTTTGACCAGATCTGGCAACGCCGACAACGATTGGCAGCTTGATGTGCGCGATCAACAGAACTCGAAGTACTCGAACATTCTCTCATCGACACCGAAGAGATTCACAACAAATTTAACTCTCAATGTGTTAATGTAGTGTTTATTTAATAATAAAAATACACCATCAACAATCTATTTTACAAGTATTTTCTCATTAATTATAAACTTATAGAAAATAGAAATATATTTTAACAGTATTACAACTCAAAATTTTTGTATTTTAGTTTCAAATGTTATATATGATACAAAAGCATAAGAAATAAAAAAAAAATATTTAAAACAATAAAAATACTCGTTTATATAAAACAGGACGAAACTGATCGACAAATAAAAACAAAACAATATCAGATGAACTCACCCTAATTCACAATTCACAACACAAAAAAATATAAGTCTGTAAAACTACAAAAAACTAAAGTTTCAAAAACAGATATCTTTGACCCCATGCACCTTTTCACTTCGTTAAGTTAATTATTGATCGGGCATCTGACAACAAATGAAATCGCGACCAATGCAGCGCTTAATATATAAAGTTTCGTACATTGCAAGTTCAAACAGGAAAAAAACGCCTGTTCGCTCGATGGCTCGTTGCAAGCCAAATTTTAAGCTCAAACATGAATAAAATCAGATTTGTTTGAGTTTACACAATTTATGTTATCAAGTTACGTATTTGATCGAATAAATGCTATTATAACGCACTCTCATTTGGAATAGTATATTACATTACGAGTGTGGAAAATCACTTTTCACACAAGTGATGTACAATATTTTTCCTACGACCACAAAATAATTTCATCAAAAAATGTAAAACCAGATTATTATAATAATTAAAATGTATTTAAAAAAATAATCAACAATAATCGTATTTATTAAATTTTCATAATTTCTAAACAAATAAAAAAAAATAAAAAAAAAATAAAAAAAAAAATTCTGGCACAGCCAGGATTCGATCGCGGTCGTTGGACGGTCTCAAATTGCAAAGTTGATGCTCTAACCAACTGAGCTAACAGGCCTTACGGTAATTGATTGATCTAATCGCTTATGTGTTTAACCAGAATAAAAAGCAAATATATCTTAGTTATTTTAAAATTATTTTAAAAATAATTGTTAAAGATAAATATCTAGGATCTAATTTACAATAATTTAACAATCATATCGATTTTAGTATTAATATGGACATTACATAGATCAAAATAGAAATTATGTGTTTGACATTTTCTGACAGCTACTGCGGAAAGTAGCATATTCTCACTTGGGTGGAAAGTAAATTCTTATTCATACGCGTGTGATATAGGGCACTTTCCATAGGTCTATATAGTGTGATATGTGTCACTTTCCTAAGTGGTCGTAGGAAAAATATATTATTACTGAGGCCCTTCCTATGGTGCCTCAGTATTACATTCGTGCAGACGAAAAAAATTTTCTTACCCCCATTTTTTAAAACTTTTTTTCATGTTTCCGATCATTCTGAGTCCGAAAATGCAAAAATATTTCGCCCCTAGCCACAAAAACACCTTCATCAAATTTACTGGCTCTCTGTCGCAACCCCATAGAATAATTAACCGGCCATTTTATTTAGCAAAAATCAGAATAATGCTTGGCTGTGCCTGTCAAGTATCAAGATGTCAACTGTGATGTGTGAATGGCTCTTAAATGTCAAATTATTTAAAAATGTATACTTCTTTGTATATTTTATAAATAAATATCAGTCATGTACTGAACATAATTCTGAACTGTCCTTCTGTCCTTTATTAATATTATATAAACAGGCGAAGTAAGGAGCCCAAATATTTTACATGAGCAGTCTTAAGAGGTAAAGGGGCCAATTATTATTAAATAAATTGCTCAAACAAGTTTGTAAACCCTAATCAAAAGGCGATATAGAATGGTTTTAAAAATCAAGGCTTATGGAAATCATCACATGATTTAACTTAATTATTGTCAATGCTTCACAAACCAAAAAATTGAACGTCCTAATACTACTAATGGCTTTCGGTCTTTCGTTCCAAGTTAAATCATTTCTCGTTTTTGTTACGCTACGAGTTTAGCCTTGTGGGCCTCAGTCTCAATAAGGTGGGAACCACCATCTTAGCGCCTCTCGAATTTTCGAGAAATTTGGTTTTCGCGTCTCAAAGATAAGATAAAAATAAAATAAAAAACAATGTAATAGCTAGCAAGTCCTTACTGTTTTTTTTATCATTATAAATTTTGTTTTGACAATGTTGTTTGTTGCTTTATCTTTTTTTACTTTTGAGGCAGTTTTGCCAAGCCTTTCGGCGACGTAATAATATTACTATACAACGTAAATGCAACGTTCATAAGAGGTTGTTGAGGGAAATCAAAACCCCGCAAAACTTCTATTTGTTACTTACCTATGTTAACACAATTGCCGTAAGTCCATCCGTGGACCCACTCTATAATGTTGCAGAACCGATTCACATTATAACATCTATAAAACGTTTCAGAACAACTTTAGGGGGAAAGTACTGTAAAATTACTAGTGTGATGTTCTCCAACCTTCACTTTGTAACTTCTATGAGATGTTTTATAAAAATCTTGTAGTTACATTAAAAATATATTGCGTGCGAGCTTAAAGAGCCCGGAATTGAGCTTATTAACGTAGATGGGATGTTATGTGCTAGCTGGGTACCTTCAGTTTTATTTTCCATGAATATTTGAGAAATGTTTACAGCTTCTTTATTCAGATGTTTAGGTAATATACAAAAAGGAATTAATTTCCTTTATTTAGTTATATAGGTACATTTAAAATTAATTGTTCCTATAACAAAAAGAAAACGTAACCTTACATTTTCAAAACTTCTTACATTCCTCGACTATTTTGACGATTTGACAACACTGTATGTCGAAAAAAAAAACAAATAGACGGATGACGGGCTAGGTAAATACTTTCACAATTCATCCCTCTTTAATTTAAAATATAAATGTTTCTTAATATTGTCATAGAAAGCACTTAACTTATGCCAATTATTTTTTTAAGAGGAAGCATAAAAAGTCACTTATTCTACTCAATGTGTAGCAATTAATAATATCACTGATAGGTGAACTCATTTGGGAACAAATGAAAGAGGAATAACCAAATCTAAAATTTTAACAACTAGAAATGAAAATACAAGATGGTAGATGTAGGAAAAGTACTAATAAATGAAAGAAGAATATGTAACATGTGGCAAATAGTTAAATAAATGAATAAACGAAATTCTATTAGCATTCATACATAATTCATAGAAAAAGTGTTTTAGGAAGTAAGAGGGGAAAATGGAAGGGATAAGGATATTGTAGCTGACAAAAACTAGAAATATAACATTATAGAAATAGTACATCAAACAGGAGTAGGAAGAAAACAAGAAGTTTATATACATGGTGTACCATTAGTCCATATTAAACTGGAGAATCATTGACCTCAAAGGGTCTTTTAATTTTTGTCCGCTGTTACGATACCATCCTATTTGTTTTGTTTATGCACTATAGGACACTTTAAATTATTGTAGATGGTATACAGTAGGGGTAGAGACTTAGTTTTCCCCTCCACATTTAAAAAATAAACAACTATTATTAATTTTTTTGCTGGCTTTAAGCTCACAGTCATTATCTAGACACTTCACCACCTATTTATTTAATGTTTTAAATATACAGTGGACGAGAAGACAACACAAAAATCATAAAATTATTTTTTGCACGGGAAAGAAAGAGGTAGAAGCGAATATAATGCATGAAAGATTTAGTACAAAATATGTAAGAACGATGCACTCAGATAGAAGGAGAATACTGACTGGAAGTATAAATAAAAATAAATTTCAAACTATAGCAATCTAATAATAAATCATAAATAGTTAACTCGACTGACTAAGAATGTTTTGTGAGATAACTTTTATGTAAGAAAGATGTAGAGTTTGAATTAAACATTTGATTTATTAAATTAAAACTGCTAATTACAGATAAATGGAGAAAAATATAAATTCAAGATAAAGTAAGTAGGCTGAAGATTTGAAAGCCATAGAAGGAAAAATAGACTATAAATTATTATTCGTGCCTGCTAGACCTAATGTAATAATTATTTAAGTATATTTAAAACGTTTTCTTAAATTTTTGAAAAAATTTGTTGAATAGTTTCATCACTACACAAAACTAATCGCTTCGGTGACAGTGTCAGCATCATCAGAGACGATGATAAACATTTTTTAGTTAGGTAAAAAAATATATATTAAAGGCAAATGAAATAAAGGATTATAAAAAACTTACTGGTTAGATATAGTAATTCCAGAAAAACTTTTTATCGCACTTTTTTAGTTGTTATATTAAAAAAAAATCACTGAATGCAGTTTTTAATTTTCACAAAATTGCAACACCTGCGATGGTAACTATCGACTAAGAAGTGCATTAAATTCTCATTGTCACTATTTATAATATCCTGAGTGTTTAATTTTAATACAATGGAATACATTATTTTTTAGATTTGACATTAGCAAAATGCAATAGAATACCTACATTCTATGAGTGCATTGTATTAGTTTTTCACAAAATCGAGTATTGAGAAATCCGTTTAGCTACTTTGATTAATAATATTTGATGCATAATTTCACTTTTTAAAGAAAAAAAATCTCTTTATTTTGGTGATATATTATAGTATGGTGATAAATAGAGTAAGGGTGAGATTACAGAACGTCTGCAACTTTGCAGATCTGCAAATATGGCGGACTTACAGATGCAAGTATCAAGTTTACCTATTCCAAAAATATCTGCAAATTCGCAATATTTATTGTGGTTTATTACCCCCAACAACACTAAACTCAAATTCATTACTATATGTTTAAAAACTCGCTAATCTGACACCACAAACTGTATTCAAACAAAAGGAACAGAAGACTTCATGGTTATTAAAAAAAAGTAAAGTAAAAATTGACAATCTGCAAGTTTGTAGGATGTTCTAACCTCCAATGTTTCTCTTTTGCAACTGCAACTGATATTTGCAGATGCAAGTACGATTTGCAGAGCTTCCGTAATCTCACCCTTAAGGGTGAATTTGCAGATATTTTTTGAAATACGAAAATTCAAAAATATTTCCATACACCAGCATTGGTTGTTTTATTTAAAACAACAAATTAAGTCATTATCATTTAAAATTAGGTGCAACGAATAAGTAAAGTAGGTAATCTTTTTTTATTTAATATTTAAATATTTTGTGTAACAGTAAAACATTTTTATGTATAAAAATATAATTAATCTTCTTTTTTCGGAAAGAAGATATAGCCTCGAAAAATTAAAAGTCTAACTTTTAAAGGAAAAATCTCACAAACTTTTAGAGGACATTTTCTTTCTTTTCATGACATTCTAAGGTATTCCACGACCTGAAATGTTATAATTAGTCGACCGTTCGGAAAATATTTTTTTTTCGGAAAGAAGATCTCGCCTCGAAAAATTGAAAGTCTAACTTCTAAAGGAAAAATCTCACAAACTTTTAGACATTTTTTTTTCTTTTCATGACATTCTAAGGTATTCCACGACCTGAAATGTCATAATTAGTCGACCGTTTGGAAAATAATTTTTTTCCGGAAAGAAGATCTCGTCTCAAAAAATTAAAAGTCTAACTTATAAAGGAAAAATCTCACAAACTTTTAGAGGACATTTTCTTTCTTTTCATTACATTCTAAAGTATTCCACGACCTGAAATGTTATAATTAGTCGACCGTTCGGAAAATATTTATTTTTTCGGAAAGAAGATCTCGCCTCGAAAAATTGAAAGTCTAACTTCTAAAGGAAAAATCCCACAAACTTGTAAAGGACATTTTCTTTCTTTTTATGACATTCTAAGGTATTCCACGACCTGAAATGTCATAATTAGTCGACCGTTTAGAAAATAATTTTTTTTTTCGGAAAGAAGATCTCGCATCGAAAAATTGAAAGTCTAACTTTTAAAGGAAAAATGGCACAAACTTTTAGAGGACATTTTCTTTCTTTTGATGACATTTTTAGGTAAAATAATTTTTAAGAAGACCTCTCCAGGACATGGGTGCAGATAAACCATTCCTGAGCCCATATTATTTGAGATAATGACCAAAATATGTTGAAGAGCGGTTCAATAGAGTCATACATCTATGGGAAATTTGCTTTCCTAAAATTATAAGAGTGCTGAAAAGAGCTTTTAAATCTCTTATTTACCTCTGATAAATAACTTGACTATCGTTTAAACTAGGAAGAAGCAATGACAGACAGGAGCTTGCGTTAGATATTTTAAAAAAGGATTTTGAGTCATAACGTCTCGTTTTCCAATTTTCAAAACATTTTGAGATCTAACCAATTTTGAAGATAGATATAAACAATTTTACACTAATGTGTATATAACTAACTTTAGACCACGACCACTGTATAGTGGCACTATTCGGACACTTGATTATTCTTTTAAAATTTATTTCGCATTATAAAAGCAGATATGCAAAAATTGAATGAATTTTTTAAAGATTTTACTAAAAGTTAGTAGCTTTTTCACATTCTAAAGTTTGTTCCCTTTAGACAATTAAGGATTATTTTGGCGGTGAATGTGAATGATTTGATATATAATAAGATTCCACCAGTGGAAATCTGATCAACATCATAGTAAAATGAACTAGGTACAAAGTGCAATCTTAGTTGACATCAAGATCCGTTTAGCATCGGTAAGGGGGAAAGAAAGATTCTGACTTACAATCACAAAAAGAACGTACAACTAAGCTTAGTCGATGTAAGTTAGCTCAGATTAGTGGTAAAAAGAAAGCGACTATTAATAAAAAGAAAAGTAATCCAGCTAAAACAAGAATTATGGCTACTGTCTTTAATAATGATATGTTGCCAGTACTAGTAGAATGTTAAGTGTTGAGTTATCTTCTTCAGGCAATGGATGTACGTATCCATAATTTAAAATGTTTGGTTAATTATTATTATGTTTAATGTGTTTTTGCAGTTAATGAACATATATCTACTACTGAAGCAGATAATGAAGATTTGTGTGCTGCTGAAGAGCTTTGCTTAATTTACAAAACTTCGTTTAAAAGCAGAAAATTGGGATCGATTGTTCAACACAAGTGAAGAGTGGTGATTTAGTTGATCCGTTTTCAAATAGAATTGTCAGTGCTAAAGAACTATCTACTTTAATAGGATTGCAATCCTTCCAGTTATTAGCCACCATTGTGGAATTCGTTGTTTCTAAAGAATAGGAAAAAGGAGATCAGTTATGTCTGTAAAGGATCAAGTTATATTTACTTTTATGAAGTTGAAAACTGATATGCAAGATATAATGTCTTATCCATTTTATTTGGAGAGAATGAAACTTTTTATCATTAAATTTTTTAACATTTTTTAATAAAACTGGTAGAAGTTCTTAGTATGGTATAATTCGGCCTTCAAAACAAGAAATATTAAATAATGTGCCTCTATGTAAGTAAGAGTACTACTACTTGATTGTACCGAAATCCCAATACAGCAAGCCAAATGTCTTTGTTGTAGGCTAAAAAATTACTCTGACTACAAAAAGAGGCATACTATTAAAATATTGACTGGAGTGTCACCTACTGGTCTCATTACTTACAAAAGTGAAGCATATGGTGGTAGAACTTCAGAAATAGACATTTTTTAACAAAGTTTCAATACTTAAAGTGTGTGAATTATTTCTCGATAGTAAAATGTTTAACAAAGGTTTTCTTATTGGAAACATATAACAGAAGCTGAAGGTATACAAATTATACAGCCTCCTTTCCTCAATAAAAAAAATCAGTTCAACCATCAAGAGGCTTTACTTAATGCCAAAATTGCCAGAGCTAGAATTCACATAGAAAGAACCTATCAAAGAATAAAAGTGTTTGTCTCTCTGTATTGGTACTTATGTCCGTTTTTCTTCTATTTATATTGTTTTTATTATACGATACTTCTCTGTATCTAACTAAATTTTAAAATGTACTTGTAAAGCCCAGATAGCTCTAACTCGGGCCTTTGAATATAATAATATTTATGTAATTGTATTTACAATAAATACTTTATTAATAATATTATTATTATAATTAATTATAATTCATAAAATTATTATAAATGTATTTACCTTGTACCTACTTGTATTGATACTTGCGTGAAAAATTAAATGTTACTTTTTATATTTCTGTAACTAGTCTTACAACCCTTTATAGAGCAATTCACCATTTAAATTTAAAAACAAAACAAGTTTTTATACTCAAATAATTAAAAAATTTAAAACAGAACATAAGTATAATTAAAACTAAATAAAATAAACAACTCAACAAAATGTCCGACTGAGTAATGACAATGAGAACAAAATCTCAACTAGACTAAACTTTCTTTAAAGCCGGTCCTGTGAAAGTTTTGTTTACCAGTGAGCACTCAAAATTGAGACAAAACACAAACATTGCATGCACTAGACAAAGAGAAAACATCTCCCAGTTCGACCCGCTTTTCATCGTTTTATTTACGTATGGATAAGCAGTCTATTTAAACTATATATGTCATTGGGAAGAAGTGGTTTGCATCGTTAAATTTCTCTTTAAAAGCTCTACAAAATAACTTTTAAAAAGTCACCGCTGAGTAAAGCCAGAAAATAGGATTATCAGATCAAATTTGGGAGACACACTAGACGGGGTGTAAGGGAATAAACGCCTTGCAACTAGCGCCCCCTGTATGAAGTAGGTAATATTTAGGCTTTGTCATCCAAAAAAACCCGGTGTATCAATTTTAAGCCATCTACTTATAAAACGACGAAAATATAATGAAAATCGTATTTTTTAAAATTAACTTTGTCACCCTGTGTATTGAACATGATGGCCCTAATAGAAAAAAATAATAATAAAAGTTTCTTACACTAACCTAAGGAATCTATAGTTAACAGATTGGCCTACTTTTTTGGGTATATTATTTTATTACAATTATTTTTTTGAAAAAAAAATATTAATATAAATTAATTTTTTAAATTTTGTATAGTGCTTCGTCTTGGTGCGATATGGCCACCATATCTCTTGTTGCACAAACTACTATTTGCTGATTATTGTTGTATCAAATATATTTGCTGGATATTTTTTTGTAACGTGTGGTCAGTGGTAGTTTTTATGATATTTGAAATGACAGTGTTGTGTATTATTGGTTTACGATTTATTGGATTAGCGAACCCTCCGCTCTGGCCTGGTCTCTTTGCTCTTCTCTCTGCGCGTCACGAATAATTACAAGTTGTATGTTCGCTGATTGGACATAATTCGATTAGTGGCCGTACTGTGGCAGTGTAAACAAGGGTCAGGATCACTCCGCTTTTCTAATCTTATGATTTAAATCTTTTTTTATTAAATTTCATTGCATACCCATTGTTTTCGGTTTGCTTTCAGCACAGACCGATAGTTTTATTTACCAAATCAGGTTACGCAGACAATTTAGATTACATTAAATTTTTCTTGTTTTAACGATATCGCTACAGGGTTCTGGAAAAGTTGCAGGAAACTTGTGTTAT